GACCCCAAGACGTCCATCGATTTTTGGTGTGGGAAAGTTACGCCTTTTACAACAGGACCGTCGAAACCCAAGAAACCCGGGGCACCCCGGAGGCAGGCAGGGCGTTTCTTGGCGTGGGCCCCCACTGCAAGTCCTCGAACGACCGCGCGGATTTCTTGCACTGGCGCTGGCCCCTCCCCCCCTCCCACCCCCAGGGCGCGCGGGGCGCGCCAGGGGCGGTGCCTGGGGCGCCGCCAGGGGGGATCCAACGCGGATCCGAAACTTCCGCGCGGGGCTTCGGCGGTTTACGCCCATGCCGTTCTTTCTTCTGCGAGGGAAGAGGGAGGTCGGGCCTCCTCGAAGGGGGGCTCCTCAGATTGGCGGTGCCGTGGCGCGAGGGGGGTGGGCTTCTGGGAAGGCAGAAGGGACTGTGAGGAGGCAGTGGGGCTTCTTAGACGCCCGCCTGGCTTCTGAGATGCCTTCCTCAAAATCTCCAGGGCTTGTTTGAGAGACCCCTCCGTCTTCTTATAGGAGGCCTCCTCCCTCGCATCACCTCCCTGTGGTAGAGGCCTTGCCGATGGGGCCGGAGCAGATGAGGTCGGAGGATCGCGCCGCAGCGCCGATGCATCACCGATGCATCGGTGATGCACTCGCCATTTCGGCGGTGGCTTCGGCGACGTCGGCGTGGAGAACATCGGGCTCCACATCGAGCCGCATCGCCAATGCATCAGCGATGTGGCGCGATCCTCCGACCCCATCTGCTCGGACCACATCTGGGAGACCTACTCCGAGTTTCTTAGGAAGCGTCGGGGGGGCGTCACCCCTGCCGACAGCCCCACATCGACCCCCGTCGCGGGCAGCCACCGCGCGCCGAAGGCGCTCCGACCCCCGTCGCGGCGCGACGACGAGGCGATGTTGACCCCCGTCGGGGGGGTACCCCCCCACGCTTCTTAAGAAACCCAGAGTAGATGTCGGCGCCGCCGATCAGAAGGCAGGGGGGCTCCTGGAAGGAAGAAGGATCCCGTTGTCATGCTATTCGCGACAACGCCAAAGACCGGCCCCGCCTCCCTCCCTGCATCGCCCCTGGCCACGTCACGATCCGCGTCACTCCTGAACACTCCCGGGCGGCGCCGGCGCGAATCCTGACGCGACTGGCCCCCGGCCCCCTCCCCCTCCCAAGTCACGCCCGCCAGCGCCAGGGAAAAAAAAACGGGCTCCTGGGATAGACGAAGAAAAACTGCATAAACATAAACTTTTGGCGCTCCGCGCGGATTTCTTGGATCTGCGCTGGACCCCCCCTCCCTGGCGCGCGGAGCGCGCCAGTGGCGGCGCTGGAGGCGCCGCCGGGGGGGCCCAGCGCGGATCCAAGGAATCCGCGCGGAGCGCCAAAAGTTCATGTTGTATGGCGTTTCTTCTGTTTCGATGGGAGGAGGGGAGCTCCTGGACGGAAGGAAGTCGGGTCTCGGTACACAGAAGGTAGCGCCGCGGAACGCGGGCAGGCCGCACGTTGCGTCGAGCCCATACGGCCGCGGAGGTGCACGGCGCGGGCCGGCTGGGGCCCGAGCGCGGCCCAGGCGGGATCCCTGCCCGAATGGACAGCACGAGGCGTGCTGTCTGGACGAGCGCGGTGGGCGTTCTCGATTTTGTCAAGACGAGGAACGGACAATAGCGCCAACTTTGACTTAGGTCGGGCATGTCCTGCTACAGGCGGATTTTGGATGACACATGAAACATACGCAAAAGTATTCAAACCAGACTGAAAAGTAAAAGAATCGTGCCCATACTATTTTTTTGACTACTTTTTGAATTTTCCTCCTGTAGAGGGACAGGCCCGACCGAAACATACACTTCTGGAGCTTCGCGCGGACTTCTTGGATGGGCGCTGGGTCCCCCTGGCGGTGCCTCCGGCGCCGCTCCTGGCGCGCTCCGCACGCCATGAGGGGGTCGATCGAAGAAATTCGCGCGGAGCTCCGACAGCTTATGTTTATGCCGTCGTCGAATCAAAGACCCTGACACGCCTCGTGGAAGAATCACAACTGGAAGTTTTGGGCAATGTTCGGCCCTGGGGACCCTCACAGGGCCCCGGGGCTGTTAATAAAACGACCCCGGATGAAAAGCTGGCCCTCGGGAAGGTATCCAGACCTTTATGGGGGCCACGTTGTGAACAAAACCGCGACGTCGGATGTCTGGGAAGAGGTGGGGTGGGGGGGGCATGAAAACGCGGGTTGTGGCGCCTCATGGCCCGAAGCACGTGCGCGGACGAGGGGGGGGGGTGACAGGTGGCGTGCTGAGAGAAGAGGGCGCCATGAGATCTAGGAGGCATCACGTGGCCCCCGCCCAAGTCGTACCTCGTACATCCTCCTCCTCCTCCTCCTCCTCCTCCTCTTCCTCCTCCTCCTCCTCCTCCTCCTCCCTCCTCCTCCTCCTCCTCCTCCTCCCCCTTCCTGTCTTCGACCTGCAGCCGCCCCCTGCAGCCCCGCTCCTCGCCCCCCCTCCTGCCGCGCCCCGCCCCCCCCCCCCCCCCCACCCCCCACGCGCCAGCCTCTTTGCCGACTCGCCGCGGTGTCCTCCCCTCCCCCCCCGGGGGGGCCCTCGCGGGAGGGGCGGCGCCCGAGGCTCCCAGCCCGCAGCGGCCTCCTGGCCCCTGGGGAGAGGGCGCCCCTCCTCGGTCGCGCGGCGGGGTCGCGGCGCCCGTGACGAGGAGGCCGCGGCACAGGGAACTGCAGAGGAGGAGCTGGCGCGCGGGAGGGCGAGCGGCGGGAGCCCGTGCCCAGACCCCGTGCAGCGCACGTGCACGCACGACGGCCGCGCTGTCGCAGAGGTGCACGCCTGGCGCAGCGCGGCGCGCGCGCGCGCGTCGCCATCCTCGCGCAGCGCCACGCGCGGCCGTGGCCGCCTCGCCCTGTCGGGGCCCAGCGCCCGGGCCGGCCGCCACGGCACGCCCGCACACCGCGGTGGCCGCGGGGCGGGCGCGTCAGTCGAGGCCCATCTTCCCCAGGGAGCCCCTGGCGCAGGGCTCGGTGGGGCGGGCGGGGTGGGCGGCAAACCGGGCGGGGGTGTCGAGCAGGGAAAGGGGGGGAGGGGGGAGCGGGAGTCAGAGGGCGCAGAGGGGGGAAACTGAGGGGGGATTGATGGGGAGGGGGGAGGGGAGGGTAATGAGCAAGAGGAGTAAGCAGAGGTAGGCAGAGGAGGAAGGGAGGAGGGGTAAGAGTAGGAAGCGCGTTGGCCAGCTCGAGCGAGTCAGAAGGCAGGACATTCCATCCTCCCTCCCGTAGCAGAAGCATCAAGTGTGGCACAACCAGAAATTTGGATTCGGGCGAGTTCCCACCTGGTACCTACAGCCTCGGAAAAAGGTTTTCCCCTAACGCCGCCACGCACGCCCATGTCGACCCACAGCGTGTTGGGAATGCCCGCGCCCCTGCCGCCCGCCATTTTGCACCGCACTGCCACATGTGTGGGCCACCACTGTACATGAATGACACCATGCCATCACTTCGGTTTGTACGCGCCTACCACGACGTGTGTGAGTTAACCACTCGTTGTCGGAGAAAACGTGACACATCCCACTGCGCGTTGCAACCGCATGACGATCATGACGGATTTGATCTAATCGTGTAAGCATTCGCTGTTTTTTTCGGCTGCGAGTCTCGTGAAGGTTTCTTGGTTGGAGCCGACCAAGCCAGACAACCTGTGAGGACGTCTCAAGCGTAACGGGGCCCAAGCCAAGCCAAACTAGGGCGAAACCCAACAAACTTTGACGACGTCGCATACGAAACCGGGCCCAAACCAGGCCAAACCAAAACCTAACACATGCTGGAAACGTCTCAAGTGAAACTGGGCCCAAACCAGGCCAACTTTTAGGATGTCTCGGTTGGGGCGCGCGGCCAAACCATGCCAAATCAGACAACACCAGGGGCCAAACCGAGTAGATTCGGAGGACGTCCTGAGCAGAATCGCCCAAACCAGGCTCCATCCGCTCTCCTTGCTACAAATCGAAGTAAAGCAATGGATCACCCCGGGCACACCCCCCGCAGGCCGAAGCCCGCTGTTTAGAATTTTGTGTGTGTGTGTGTGTGTGTGTGTGTGTGTGTTTGTGTGTGTGTGTGTAGGGGGGGGCGCCTGGGCCGCGCACCCGCAAATGCGGACGGGGTCGGGCGCAGACGCCTTCAGTTGTCCTTCAGGTGCTGTTAAGGCATTGGTGTGGCGTTCGGGGGAATACTTCCGAGCCAGATCAGCCTCGGAAAAGTCTTCTCTTAACGCCACCACGCGCGCCCATGTCGACCTACAGCGTGTTGGGAATGTCCACGCCCCTGCCGCCCACCATTTTGCTCTTCCCAGCTCGCACTTGCAGGCTCCGACCCAGTCCTACTGGGTGCCTGTCAAAAAAACAGAATGCCCCGCCCGATCTCGCTTCCGCAAGATCCTCGTCGTCGTGTCCTGCGGCTACAATCCAAATTCAACATTCTTTGGCTGAGAATTCAACGCAAAAGGTATCACGGGATTCCTCCCTGGGCCCACTCTGCAAGAGACTACCCAGTTTCACTGAGTTCCAGCCGAATTATGACAATAAGGAAGCAACGCTGGTTATTGCAAGACTGCGTCCCCTCGCTGGGGGAAACAACTTTCAACCAAATGTGGAAGAGGAAGCGCTTGACTCCGATTGACTCCACGGTCTCTTCCTGCGCCTTCTGTTGATCCAGGGATCGCTGCCTGCGGCGGGAATCTTATTGTGGACGTTTGCGTGCTTCTTGAGCTGGTCGTTAGTTTTGTTCAACTGCTGCCTGAACGTCTTGATGCGGTACTACTGGAGGCCCTGCTCCAGACGGTGGAGTCTCACTCATCTTTTGACATAGCAGGCTGCTTGGGGATAATTATTGGGAACGTTATCCTTCGGCACCGAAGGTGCCCGCCTCTTGAGCTGCGCACTGGAATGCTCTGCTGGCGCTGGAGGCGCAAGCGGTGGTGGAGCCGAAGATAGGCCGCCTGACTGGTCCGATGTGTCTCCGGGATTCCAAGAGCCTCCGCATTTGCACTGAGGGTTGGACCTTGCTGCCCAAATCCGTTTACTGCATATAGTGCATATGAGATAAAGCATATCATAATTCTTGGGGCGCTGGACCGTCGACCGTGCCGTAGCCGCAGAACTTGCGGCTGATGGACTAAAGCTGCTGCCCTGGTAAGCCCATGGCTGACGCGTGAACTGATGCGGCATGGCGAACGTCGCGAACTCTGAGTTGCGCGTGGGAGGCTGGCCAAAACGGTCGTGTGTCAACCCAGCAGATGTCTCGAGCCAGCCCCTCGGCTTGAGCCAGAATGACTTCAGCCAACACAGCTACGGGCGAGGAAGAGGAGGACAACACTTGGAAGGATGACGGGCACCCCTCGCGCCGCCGGCCTGAGGCGGTCCAGGTCCTCCGGCGACAGCCTGTCCAGGCCCTCCAGGGCCTGCGCGCCGTCCTCGCCATGGGCGGAGGCCGCTGCCGCAGTCGTCGCTTCTCTCCTTCTCCTCGTCCTCCACCTCGTCCTCCAAGGGGGAACAGGAGGGATGCGGGGAGGACGGGGAGGCGGACAGCGAAGGCCGCGAGGAGGACGACGGGGGACGACGAGAAGAATGGGACAAAAAGGCCCAAACACGACGATGACGGCAACGGCGGCGACGCCGCTGGCCGCAGCCACCGTCACGCGTCGTCGTCCACGTCGTCGTTGTCGTCGTCGTCGTCGTCGTCGTCGTCGTCGTCGTCGTCGTCGTCGTCGTATTCGCCACCGTCGCCACGGTCGCCACCGTTGTCGTCGTCGCCGCCGCCGCCGCCGCCGTCGGCGTCGGCGTCGGCGTCGGCGTCGGCGTGATCGTCGTCATCGTTGTCGTCGCGTCGTCGTTCCGTCATCGTCGTCGCCGTTCGCAACTTCGCCACCGTCGGTATCATCTTCACCATCGCCATCATCATCGTCGTCGTCGTGGCCGCCACCGTCGTCGCCATCGTCGCCGCAGCCTTCGTCGCCGCTGTCGTCATCATCATCGTCGCCGTCGTCATCGTCGTCGCCGCCGCCGCCGCCGTCGCCGCCGCCGCCGTCGTCGTCGTCGTCGTCGTCGTCGCTGCCGCCGCCGCCGCCGTCACCGCCGCCGCCGCCGCCGTCGGTCGTCGCCGTCGTCGCCGTCGTCGTCGCCGCCGCCGCCGCCGCCGCTGCCCCCGTCGCCACCGCCACCGCTGCCGTCGTCGCCACCTCCGCCACCGTCGCCACCGCCGCCGCCGCCGCCGTTGTCGGCCCCTCCGCCACCGTCGGCGTCGCCGTCGCCGTCGCCGTCGGCGTCGCCGTCGCCGTCGTCGTCGTCGTCGCCGCCGCCGCCGCCGTCGCCACCGCCGCCGCCGCCGCCGTCGTCGTCGTCGTCGTCGTCGCCGACGTCGCCGGCGTCGTCGCCGGCGTCAGCGATGACGTCCTTGGCGCCGACCACGCCCGCCACGGCGGCCAACGCGCCCGCGGGCAGCGCCCGCGCACGCGCGGCGAGCTCGGGCGCGGAGGCGCCCTCGGACAGGAGGCTCTCCACGAACTGCTGCGCCAGGGCCTCTGGCCGGTGCCGGCCGCTGGGGGGTGGCGGCGCGCCCACGGGGGAGGTGGCGCGGGGGGGGTCCCGGGGATCCGGGCGTTGCAAGATGTTGTTGCAAGAGGCGTTTTGCCGTGCTTCGGGCGCCGGGGCCGTCGCAGATCGCTCCTGGGTCGAAGCTTGCCTCCTGAAAGGTGGGGTCCAGGGCTCTGGGCGTGTTTTTTTTTTTCGCGATGTTATCATTGTTGCGCAGCGTCGTATCTCAGGGACGGCATGGGGGGCTTCGTCGAAGGCACGGGCCTTCTGAGAAGGGCCTGACGGCTTCTAACCCAGGCCTTCGACGTCATGACCTCGAGGTCTGGACCCCCCGAGGCCTGGACCCCAGACCCCATCCTTTCGTCGCCATCGTGCGAGCCAGATCGATCTGTGAGGGCCCGGGGCCCGAAAGCCGGCGGAAGCGCACGCTGTGCAAAAATCGCAGCGCCAGGGTCTGATGGAAGCGAAGCGAGGGAGCCCCGAGGCCGAACATAGCGAAACATCTTCCGTCGTTTTTTTTCTCCCCCGAGGGGTCTGGCATGAGGCTGCGCCGGAGCTGGGCGGGTTTCTGAGGAGCCCCCCTGGCCTTCTGAGGAGCCCCGCCGCCGTCTCAGAGAAAGCGCTCCCCCCCCCCCCCCTCTTTGCTTGCCATCGCTCGGACGCCCCTTCCCCGTGCACTCTTCGGCTCCGTGCGCTTCTGTTCTTCGCGAGACGATCCATGCTGCTCCTGGATGTGAGCATCGTTTATCCGATCCCCATCCCCAGCGGCGTGGCCTGGGCCCCGCTGGCCGATCTACCCCGCTTAGATGGTGATATACGCCGTTCCCTTCGGGTTTCGAGGGGTCTATCCCCAACTGGGGGGGTAATTTGGTGGGGGGCGGCCAAGAGGGGGGCGTCCAAGAAGGGGGGGCGCAAATCATGGCCGGCGGCATGTGCGCGGCCAAAGGGGGGGCCAAGGACGCAATGAAACAAGAAGAGGCGCCGCGAAACCTGGGGAGATATCATGGCCCCCGCCATGACTTTCACCCCCCCCAGTCATCACCCCCTTCTTTGCCGCCCCCGAAGGATGCTCCTCGACGGGCCCTCGCCGGACAAAAAAACGTCCACGCGCCCGAACGATGCCACGCTTGGCGGACGCCGCCGCACCCCGCGGGGGGACCCGCGGGGGGGGGGGACCTCTCCGCGAGGACCTCGGCGGGCCGGGGGGGCGCCCCTCCCCTGCCCTTCCAGGAGGGCTAAAAAGAAGAGCACCAGGGCGTCGACGTCCTCACTCCTGTCGAGGCTTGCGGCAGTCCAGATAGGTCTCTGGACTGCCTCAAAAACGTCGACGGGAGTGAGGACGTCGACGCCCTGGCGCTCTTCTTTTTAGCCCTCCTGGAAGGGGCAGGGGAGGGGCGGCCCCCTCCTCGGAGGTGCTCTGGACCCCGCGCCCCGAGGCGTCGTGGCACTTTTTTTCTCCTGGCGTGGGCCCCGGGAGAGGTCTGGGCCCGTTCCGGAGACCAGCTCTGCACCCCGAGCAGCTTCGTCGGGCTGACCCAAAAAGAGGGGTCCAGCGACAAGGGGGTGGTGCAAGAGATTCGGTGCAACAGATCTGTGGGCTTTTTGCAGTCCGCTCGGGGCGTGCAATGCACTTCGGGGCGCAGACGTCTTGCTGTATTTTGTCGCTTGCAATACACTTCTTGCAACACAATGCAATGTAATTCTCCCGCGCCATACATATGCAATACAATTGCCCCAGATCTATTGCACCACCCCCTTTCAGCTGGACCCCCTTGTGGGTCACCCCGATTTCGGGGATCTACTGACCTGGGTCAATCCAGACCCGGGGCAGTCAGGCTTTGCAGGATCCGGCAAGCTCCTGCAGGATCCTGCGCCCCAGCCTGGGTCGATGCAGCCCTGGCTCTGCAGGATCCTGCAAGATCTGGCGCTCTGGCCGACCTCCGTTTGCCCTGACCCCCGCCCCTTGGGCCCTTGAGCCCCGAAGTCTTTGACGGTCCTGGGGCCCGGTCAGGCCCCCACGCGGGCCGAAAACAGCGCATCACCTTCTGCCGTTACTTTTTTCCACGACGCGAAGGCTCTCAAAGCTGATGCTGCAACACCGCAGAGCATCACCACCGGAGCCCCGGATACCACCCGCCTGCGCCATTTTTCGAGCCGGATCGACCTGTGAGGGCCGAAGCTGCGCGAGAACGTCCGACTTGAACAAATGGAGACGCCAGGATCTCCGGTGGGGGACCTCGGGCGGGACCTCTCCAGAACCTCGACGCCATGTCCTTTTCATAACGTCGACCCCCAGGTGGGCGTTCTTGTATTCGCTGTTTCGACATTGGCCGGGAGGGGGCAGGGGAGGGGGGGGGATCTGGCTGCGGACCTCTGCTTAGCGCGACTGTTTGCAGCAGGGCGTCCATTATGGGGGAGGCCCCACCTGCTCGAAACAGGCGCCAAAGACAGCCAAGATCTACTCCATGGAAGGAGGGGGGTGCGAGGGCCCGCGCCGATCGGCAAAACAATGAATAACAATGATACCGGATAAAAACCCCAATCAGGGCTATAGGGCCAGCTATAGGGCTATAGAGTTGTAGGGCTATAGGACTATTGGGCTATAGGGCTTAGGACTATGGCACCCCCCGGCACCCCGGGGCACGCCCGGGCACGCCCGGGCACCTGGGCACCCGTGCACCCCCGGGCCCCCCCCGAGCACCCCCGGGCACCCGGGCACCCGGGCGTGCAGCGAAAATCGGCGACAAACTTAACCTAACCATATGAATCCGCTAGGACCCCTACAGAGGCAAGCTCTGATTGGGGAGAAGCGACCACCAGAGGTCTCGACCCACTCCCTGGGACCGCTGTCTCGGGGTAACTCGGGCCCAGGGTAACTCGGGCTCGAATCCCCGAAAAACGAACCCGAGTTAGCCCTGACCCGAGCTACCCCTGATGATTCGGGGCTCTGAGAGGTCTCGACCCACTCGCCGGGACCGCTGGTTCGTCCCGGGCCGTCTTTGGACGGCCCTCTGGGGGCCCGGCGAGGGCCCCCAGAGGCCGACCGTGGGCCAGAAAAGTGCGTCGTGCTTTTGTTGTTTGTTGTTATTTGTTGCTGCTCCTGCTGTTGTGGTTGCTGCTGCTGTTCTTGTTGTTGTTGCTGTTGCTGCTGCTGCTGCTGTTGTTGTTGTTGTTGTTGTTGTTGTTGTTGTTGTTGTTGTTGTGTTTGTTTGTGTCGGTGTCTGTGTTTGCGTCTGCGTCTGTGTGAGAGTTTGTGCTGTTGCTGTTGCTGTTGTTGCTGTTGCTGATGCTGTTGCTGTTGTTGTTGCTGCTGCTGTTGCTGTCGTTGTTGCTGCTTTTGCTGTTGCTGTTGCTGTTGCTGATGTTGCTGTTGTTGTTGTGGTTGTTGGTGTTGTTGGTGCTGTTGTGCTTGTTTGTGTCTGTGTTTGCGCTTGTGTCTGTGTCTGTGTTAGAGTTTGTGTTGCTGTTGTTGCTGTTGCCGTTGCTGCTGTTGTTGCTGCTGTTGCTGCTGCTGTTGCGGCTGTTTTTTGGAAAACCGTGTGAGCACATCAATCTTGTCACCCCGAAGCCTACAAACACCAACGACGACGACGCGAGCATGTCGGGGGGGGGACCTCGGGGGTGGGTGGGCGCCCCAGGCATGCCCCCTCCGGCTCGCGCGGCCCGCCCCGGGCCTCGTCCCGCTCGGCCAGGGGCCCGGCCGCCCGCGCGGCGGAGCTGCGCAGCTCCCGGACCTTCGCTTCAGGTCGGGCCCGCCCGCCCTACAGGCGGAGTTTGGGCGAAGAAACAAAAATCACATAATACTCCAGCAGAGCCAAAAACATTTTAGAGAAATCGTCCCCAGACTCTTTTTTGCCTATTCTTGAATCGTCCTCCTGTAGGGGGGACAGGCCCGACTCAGACCTTCGCCTCGCGCTCCGCGCGGTCGAACCACCAGTAGGTGAGCGCCATCCGGCGCCGCCGGGCCGGGAGCACCTGTCGATGGTCCTCAGAACGTGGGCCAGCGCCAACGTGTGTTTGTCCACCGATGCCCTTCACTACTGCGTAGGGGGCGCAACGAGGGCCGACCGACACAGGCTGCGGGTTATCGGCGGAACCGAACGGGGTAAACACACGCTTGGGCTAACACACGTCCTGAGGATCATCGAACCTGGGCGACGGTCAAAAATCGGCACGATCGAAATAGATATACGGAAAGAGTGGGTACGAAGACCGACGGCAATTCTGGCTCATTTTGGACAGGATCTGCTGTCGGTGCCGCCGCGGGTCGTGTCCTCTTGAGGCAGAAGGCCGCCTGCCCAACAGCGGCCGCTGTCGGTCTTGGACAATACTTGTTGTTGGACATTGTACCCATTTTTCCCGTACCCATTTCGGGTGTCCAAAAACGGGTCTTACGCGAGATGGCGTAGCGACCTTTCGCGGTGGCTCATGCGGGCCGCCAGCGCGGCACGCGGCGCCTGGAAGCGAGGGCGCTCACGCGCGACCAGGTCTAAAACTCAGGCTGACTGGAGAGCTTGACTCACCAAAGGTTTTGGGCCAGGGTGCCCGCAACGTCCATGCGATACTGAAGAATCCTTCCCCTCGGGTGCCTACCAACACGCTGGCCAGAGACGGTGCTATTGTTGCCGACCCCCTCCCTCAACCTCCTTGCCAGTGAAGGAGACAAGTTTAAGAAATACTGGGGCCCTGGGGAAGGCAATCGTGGCCCCCCTTCGTTGGTCACCCCTCTCCCCAGAGCCTCCCCAGAAGAACTCAGTTCCGTCAATCAACAAATACAGGAAGACCTCGGCCGTTACTGACGACGGTTTTGATTGCAGGCATTTTCACCTCAAGTGCGGGTGGCTACATGCCGATAAGGGGTGTTCTGCTCTTGGTGCAGCAGCAATACCCCCGTCGGTACTGGGCTGCTGGTGCGTTTAGAGGGGCGTCCGACGTGGTCTGGAGGCTGGCGGTCCGAGTTGAAGCTGGCACGGCCAAGAAGGAAGTCAGTGCCAGTCTTTTCTTTTACGATATGCTCAAGTACTATGAGACCATTATTTTGGACATGCTGGAGTCTCGGTGCTCCCAGTTTGCCTTCCCTCAAGTGCTGTGAATACTCACTTTGTGCACCTATAGGTGTGGCAAGTTCGTTTCCATTGGAGGGCTGCTGGAAGGTCCCTTCTTTGTTGCCAACGGAGTCATTGCTGGCTACAACATGATCACGGCTCACATCATAATTTTCGCTATGTCATCGCTCGCCTCCATCCCTTCTTACCTCGTCCGGAATGTGACGTTTACGTTTGTGACGCTAGCACTTTATGTACGGGTTCGCATGCTCATGTTGTGTCGCGTCTTGTCAAACCGTCTGCGGTCCTCCATCATGTCATTACTGACCCCAACATGATGCATTGCCAACTCTCCTAGGATAAGATTTGCACCGTTGCCTCTTAGGACGTGATCTGGCGGAAACGCTCTGCCAACATGGAAGCAAAATCGCCGATTGTACGGTGAACCGTGGAGTAGATTCTTGTGCTGGTGCCGCTGTGCGTGTGTCGGGCAGGAGCTCGAAGCTCAAAACGTGTCTCGCTTTACTTTGCAGGGAGTCCAGATGCCGCAGAAGGCAGACAGGGACCCTGGGTCGCAAGGCCATGAGGGTGTTCGCTTGTGGCCCCCTTCCTGGAAGGACCTACGGCGCGGACATCCTCGGGGTCAGCGACCAGGCTCTCTTGATTCTGAGACGTCAGGCCTTCTCTACGGCTAGGTCTTTCTCGAAGGGCAGGTCCCTCACGGCTGTTGGCACTCTCTCGGATGGCCCATGTTGGAGAGCTGTCTGCGCCTCCTTTGTTGAGGTGGAGCAGGGAAGTGTGGTTGGCGCAGACAAGTTGGGAAGGGATTGGCAATCTGTCTTTGCTTTTTTCCCGCTTCACTTGGCCTACTGTTCGGGGTCCTCTGTCGGTCCTCCGTCTCGCGCTTGTTAGACTTGGGTAGGTTATGAACGATTATGTTGCCGTCGCCGATGATCACGGTTGCCCTATCTGTTTCAATATGATCCCGCCCAGCCTTCTGGAGACCCTGGCAAGGATGCCTGTTATAGGAATGTTGAAAGAGATCTAGGTGACAAGTGGGGTTTATAGTGCAAGGCTTGCCTCGACATCCCTCAAGCCTCCACTGAAAACAAACCATTCACACCAACCCAACAAGAGGCTGGATCCGTGCTTGTGCCAGTGATGCCATATGGACTGCCGACAGAGCTCTTGTTTGTGGCTATCAGGTGGGGAGTCTCTGTCCCATCTGTCGGCAAGCTCCTGACAACATCTTCCATCGTCGTTGGCAATGTGCCTCGGAGACGGTGGTGCAACTTAGATCGCAGCTTGTCCCCGCCTCGGTGGTCTCTGATGCTAGCACTGTGTGGGCCACTGAGGCCGACTGCCACGTAGTGGCTCTCTATACCAGAGGAGCTTTCGCTCACCCCGCCGATGTTCTTCCGCGCCCTGCTCTGGAAAACTCCGAGTCCCTGGCTTACGCCTGGCATGTTGATATGCCCCAGAGCCCTGATGAGCCCGTCAATTGGGAGATGTGGGGTCACCTCTTTCTAGATTGGTCCTGTCAGAGACATGCCATTCGCGAGCTTTCCCGTGCTGCGTGGTGTACCAGCATGAATTCGGAGGATGGGGACTGTCTTGGAGAGGTGCGAAGGCCTGCTTGGGCCTTTTTTCCATCAGACGCTCCAGGCTGCCGATTTTTGTTCGCCAGATGTGTGGTGTCTCAATTCATGGTTCATCCCTCCACCCTGTACAGCGACTGTGCCAATGTGGCTCACCACTCTTTACTCCCTGTCTGAGAGGTACTCGGGCAAGAGGGCGTATCTGGCATGATAATGCAGGCCAATAGTTTCGAGAGAGATTTCGTTCAAGCTATTGAAAGTCACAGCTCACCTGCATGTAGATCAGGCTGGTATTTCAGAGCGTGAATGTTTCCTCCGCAGGGGCAATCGAGATGCGGATGTGGGTACCAAGCACGGGCTTCAGCTACACCCTTCGGATTCGGCTAGCATGTTAGAGGTGGGTGCACTAACCACAGTGGCGCGTGTCTTTTGTATTCTAGCTGCCAAGTTGCTGCCCCTTTGGCCCAAACTTTCACTTGATGTGCCCTATGAGCCTCCTGAGGCCCCTGGCAGGTTCCCCAGGGTCCCTCACGCCTGGAAGAAATGGTCTGGCATCTGGAGGTGTGCCCAGTTTCTTCTAGGCCGCAGATCCCCTCTAGAGCCTCCCCTTGGGTCTTGCTCTAACAGATCCAAGCTCGACGACAATGTGCTTCAGGGACTGGAGCACAGAATGATGCGTTCCCTTGTTCGGACGGCTCCGTTCTGTTCATTCGCTTGCGTTGCAAGTGCCACTCCACGGGTGCTACGATCAGAGGCCTCGGCGATAAGTGCACTGGCTTATCCTCCAGGCGTGCTGCGGCAGGCTGGAGAGTTTTGTGCCGTGGCCTCATCCTCACGAGGCGCCGCCACATGTCTGTGGCGGTCGACAAGGTGCTCGAGCTTTTTTGATTGGCGCCAGAGGTCCGCATTCCTGTCTAGAGTGCGCCCGTCTGTCAGCTCAAGGCTTTGCCACGGTGGTGGAGCCTCGACGGTGGCTACCTTGTCTCAAGGCAGCCCTTCTTTCCCTGGCCCTCGCCAGGCCCTTGCAGTGGAGGTTTTGTCTTGTGCAGCTGCCGCTTGCCTCTCTGTATGTTTGGCAGTGATTGTCCTGCCTCCAGTTATGCGCCCGCTGCATGGCGCGTATTCCTCTCAACATTTCTCACTTGTGCTGTGAGAAGTCTCCCTTGTTGGCTCTAGTGGTGAGGCCGTCGAGGTTCAAATCCCACGACATCCAACGAACAGCCAAGAAGCCTACGACCCACAAACCAAACACGGTGGTGGGATGGGCCGAAGACCAAGAGATGCATCCGCGCTGGGTCACTTTCTCGCGACGCCCAGCTGTCTTGGACCACCTCTTGCCGTTCGCGCGCCCGAGGATAGAAGACAACCGTACCCGTCGGTCGGAAGAAGTGGGTAGAAACACGAAGTAGGACGCCGTTGGAAGTAGATTGGGCTTCCGCCCGCCCCCCTGAAGAGGAGGGGAGATGGACCACCGCTCGACTCTTCAAGCAGGAAGGCGCCTCACGTAGATTGGGATCAGCATATCCCAAAATACATACTTTCAACGACCGAAGCATGACACACACACACACACACACACACTTCGGGGTCCGCGCGGACTTCTTGGCTCAGCGCTGGGCCCCCCTCCAGGGGTCGGCGCCTCCGGCGCCGCCCTGAGGTGCTGGGAGCGCGGCCCGGCGCCAGCGCAGGAAGTCCGCGCGGACCTCCCGAAATGCTCGCCGAGGACTGGCTGTCCCCCAGACAGTTATCCCAGTGCGACCCTACCTGGGAGTTGGAGCATCTAGGAAAGCAACATCTACATCTACACCGTCAGCTACCTTAACATCTACACCTGCACCTACATCTACAGCAACATCAACAGCGAGACTCACATCTACATGCTATGCTATGCTGCGCTGTGCTATGCTATGCTAGGCTCTGCTAGGATATGCTATGCTGCGCTATGCTGTGCTAGGCTATGCTATACTATGTTATGCTATGCTGTGATATGATATGCTATGCTATGCTGCGCTGTGTTATGCTAAGCTATGGTATGACATGATATGATATACTAATGTCATGCTATGATAGGCTATGCTATGCTATGCTGCGCTGTGCTATGCTAAACTATGATGTGCTATGCTATGCTACGCTATGCTATGATATACTATGCTGCGCTATGCGATCCTGCGCTATGCTATGCTATGCTATGACATGCTATGCTATGAGTTGCTATGCTATGCTATGCTATGTTATGCTAATGCTAATGCTGCGCTGCGCTAAGCTGAGCTAAGCTAAACTAAGCTAAGATAGGCTAGGCTAAGCCAAGCTACGCTAAGCTAAGCTAAGCGAAGCTAGGCTAAGCTAAGTTAAGCTAGGCTAAGCTAAGATGAGATAAGCAACGCTAAGCTAAGGGAACGTCACTGGGGGAACCAAGGGGCGGATCCTGCGCCCGGGGCGTGGAACACTGCCCGGCCCTTTGAGCCAACACGGTAAGAACCCTTCTAGGCAGAGCCTAGGTAGGGAACCAGAACCTTGGCGGACCCCCTCCGACACCATTCGAAAAGCCTCCTGGAACCGTTCCTAAAGGGTTTTCGGAGGCTTTCGGGAGGGCTTCGGAGACAAATGAGTGCCTAGGGGAACCCAGACTTTCTAGTGTTAGAGGCCTCCCAGATGGGGTCAGAGCACGTGGGTTCGGATGATCGCGCCGCATCGTGGATGCGTCGCCGATGCATCGGCGATGCATTGGCGACGCCAGCGCGGAGCAATTCGGGCTCCACCTCGAGCCGCATCGCCGATTCATTGGCGCTGCGGCGCGATCCTCCGACCCCGTCTACTTGGATCCCCTGCGTGAGGTTCAGTTATGAGCGACGAAAGCAAGCGGGTCTTACGCGAGATGACATCGCGAGCTTACGCGGCTGCTTACGCGCCAATGTCTGCGAAGGCGACTCCGCTTCTTTCGTCGCCCATCTGTTCTTTGGGGGGGGCGTCCGAGAGGGGGGCTCCCAGCTCATGGCCAGCGGCACGTGGCGCGGACCGGGGGGAGGGCTAGGGGACGCGCTGAAAGAAGGAGGGGGGCCATGAGACCTGGAGAGATAACACGGCCCCGGCCATGACATCCACAAACCCCGGTCACATCTTGGCCGCCCCCGAGTTTTGCTGCTTGCTCTCGAAGGTCGGCTACACGCAAGAGGGACCCCCTGTGTAAGAGTGGCCTTTGGTGCGCGGCTTTTTGGGGGCCACGGAGGGACCAACACACAAGCGCGCAAGACGCTACTACCGCGTCGCGCTCAGCGATCGGGGGGATCCCGGTGAGCCCGCACCAAAGGTCATTACGGCGAATGGTCACTCTTACAGTGCGGGCGCGGCCGCAAGAAACCATCGCAAGAAAACCAACCCCGCAAACCTGCGCGCGAAGTGCATCCGAGGGGAAACCTGCTGGAACATCCTGAACGCAGCAGCTCTTTTGACGGCCGCGGGAAGTCACCGTGCAGCGCGCGGAACCAAGAAACCCAGGGTACCCTGACGACAAGCAAATGGTTTTTCTTGATGCTCGCCCCCACTGTACGTCTAGTCGAATCTTGGCCGCCAACGAGTTTTGCTGCTTGCCTTCGAAGGGCGGGAAAAGGCCCGGGCCGCCTGGTGGGCGATCTGGTCCGCCCAGAACAGCACCAGCCGCCCCCCGGCCGGCGCAAAATCCAGCGGCGGGCCGCCCTCTGGGGGGAAGACGCGCAGCTCCTGAGCAGCTGGGAGGCCGCAACAATCGGGAGGCAATTCCAGGTAGTTTGAGGCGGCTTTTTGAGCAGGGACCGACAGTCCCGGCATTTCTGTAGGCCTACCACGAGATGTTCTTAGACCCGACACATGTTCCAAGAACGATCGCAATGTTCTTAGAACATAATCCCGATGTATGAAAACACGATAGTCTCACCCAGAACTTGTCTAATAACATTTCGTGCAGACCACAACAAGTTCTTAGAACATTCTTTCGTGGGCCTATAGGCAGGCCAGGACGCTTCGCCACTCAATGATTTGGACCCCAGAAAATCGGTTAGGAAGGAAGACGGAGCCAAACCCGCTCAAACTCGGTCCCCGGATCCCTCCCAGGGTACATCTGACGCGACAATAATAGCAACATCGCGAAACATCGCGACCAGAACCGCGGACCCAATACTGCTGAACTTTGCGAGTCCCAGGCCCCAAGGTAAGGCGAAAACGCCTGGCGCGAAACAGCTGCGACGTCAGAATCTCAGGGGATACCCCAGCTCTGATGCTGCAACTTAAAACCAATTCCTTATATTCGCGAGAACGCCCGTGACTGGCGGCCGCGCGCCCCCCCAATCCCCCCTTCCCACGATTAGCGGTGGCGCCGCCTGGAAATTCTCCGTTCTTCGGCATTCCCCGACGGCGTCGGCGCGAATCGTGACGTGACCGGCTCCTCCCCCCCCTTCCCCTCCGCCCCAGTCACGCCCTTTATCGTGCGGGGATAAAAAACCTGTCTCCTCCAGGGGATACAATTAGAACTGATAGTAAGGATGCGCGATAAGAATGCAAGCCCCTTGGACGCTCGTGTTGAAACTTTTCCGAGCGCGGTGGACCATCGAAAATGGTCGAGGACGGACCAGAGAGGCACGGATGCAAGGGTACCCTGGGGAATGTTGGCCATCCCTGCCATCGGCTTCGACTGTGTACCGGCGCCGATGCTGAACCGGACCTCGCTGAACCGGACCTTCCAGGAGCTGCATCCCGGCAACCAGACCAGGGAGGAGCAGGTCCGCCCCTGCCCGGAGGCCGTGAGCATACGCGGTTGGGCCCGCAAGCGAAGACGTGTGCGGTGTGCGGAGGCCAGGCGGGCCCGACCCGTGCCCAGCGAGCGGCGCACCGGGGCCGAGCTCCGGCAAGGAGACACGGCTCACCACTGACCCAAAGCAAACGCCCAACCCCGAGCACGCGAGCGGGGTCAGAGCAGATGGGGTCGGAGGATCGCGCCGCATCGCCGATGCATCGCCGATGTGTCGACGATGCTTCCGCGATGCAGAGGGGATGCGTCGGCGACGTCGGCGATGTGTCGGCGACGTCAGCGCGGACCAAATCGGGCTCCACATCAAGCCGCATCGCCGATGCATCGGAATTGCGTCGCGATCCTCCGACCCCATCTGCTCGGACCCCATGTGGGAGGCCTAGAGTCTTTGATGCTCGTCTTCGACTTCCCCTCTGGGCTCCCCGCCATCGGCAGGGGACCAGTCGGGGGCGCCGTTGAGGTACACGATGGACGTGAGCGCGCGCCCGTCCTGGTTGGGGTTGTCCACGTGCTTCTGGAAGTGGGCGCCCTCCTCTGCGGAGGCGTGCGCAGAAGGGGGGTGTTGCGGTGGGCGGCCTTCTGAGAAGGCAGCAGGAAGTCTTCTTCCCAGACAGTCAACGTCTTGGCCAACGCAGAGCTGGGAATTCTGGCAACCTTGAGCATTCGGGGGCCTTCAATTGGCCCCCGGCGCGCCTAATGGCGACTCGGCATGGAGAGCGGGCCCTGATGGAGAGCTGGCCCCGGGGAGAAGGGTCGGGAATCCACCGGGGCCGCGTATTGAAACGGCGAGGGTCTTCTCGAGCGCCCCCCCCCCCGCCTTGTGAGAAGCAGTCTCTTTTCGCGAAGGGGGCGGGCCCCGCAGGAAGATGGTCCTGGGATGTCTGTTCGTCGTTCTCGGGCCCCCAGAGCCCCTCCACAGGTCCACGGACCGTCGAAGACCGGCCCAGGATGACGCTATGGCCCATGGGAAAGCCCCAAAGCCTGGGACTTGTGCCCATCAGGAGCCCCTTTTCCGCCAGTGCGAATCGATGGAGCCTTCGAACCCTCCTGAGATGCCCCCTCCCCTACCCTGAGAGGCAGACACATAACTATATGTGACTTCCGGCGATTGCAACAAGATGCATGCACCTAAACAAAGTTGCGCTTAAGTATACGCTCACACGAACATGCACATATCTCAATAGATGCAGGTCTGTGTCTTCAAATACACTATATACATACACACAAACATACATGCGCAAACCTATCACGCATACATATATACGCACGTCTACGCGCAAGACCCCGAACACTAAAACACTAAGGCCCTGCGACCCTTATTCCCAAGACCATGCCGTCATACCATGGTACACTAAGGCCCTGCGACCTTAAGGCGCTAATGCCAGAATGTCCTAAGACCCTCAGACCCTAAGACCCCGAGTAACGAACGTCATAAGATCGTAAGGCCCTGAGGCACCAACGCCCAGAGACCCTAGGACCTCAGGACCCTGAGACCATAACGCCCTAAGTTTCTACTGCCTTATGACCATAAGGCCCCTGTACCCTGGGACTGCAACACCCTGAGACCCTGAGACTCAGCCTGAGACCCTGGGACCCTGAGGCCCGAAAGCCCTAGGACCATAATCCACTGGGGTCCTAAGGCTTTAAGCCACATGTAGCCTTAAGCCACATATCGCGATAAGACCCGACGGCGCTAAGAATCTAGGGTCCAAATACATTAGGGCCCAATTAATCGAATGACCTTAGACTCTGCGACACCATGGTGGTCCCAGGGCCCTTGGCCACTAACACCTTAAGACCGTAACTCCGAGAGCCTTAGACCATGATGTCCTTAGGCCATAGGACCTGCGGGCCCCACGACCATGCGAATCGAAGGCCATCGGCCTCGGGACCCTTGGACCCTAAGCAGATAATGCACTCAGGCTCTAGGACCCTCAGGCCCGAATATCCCCAGATACTAGTGCCCCGAGGCCATGGGCCCAAGAGCCCTAGGGCACTGCGACTTTACGCGCGAATCACCTTAAGAGCCGAACACCTTACTACCGCAATGCGCTAAGACCCGAAGACGCTGGCAGCTTCAGACCCGGAGGTCGTATACCCTGCGCTCGAGGACCCGAATAATCCGAACGCTCGAAGGTCCTAAACATCCGAATGCCCCGCGACCCACAAGCCCGAAGGCTCTCGGGCCTTACGGATGCGCGCACCCTTGTGCCCGAGGGCCCGAAACCCCCAAGGCACTCAGACCGTAAGACCCTTAGGCTCTGAGACCATGCGGCTCTATGATCCTAAGGCGTGAAAGCCCTATGATGTTAAGGCCAAAGATCCATCTTGTAATCCGCCACAGAAGGAATCCTTCTGTAGTGAGTCACAGAAGCAATCCTTCTGCAATCCACCGCAGAAGGAATCTTTGTGTAATCCGACACAAAGGGATGGATACCTTTTGTGGCGGACGTACGAGATGACCGAGGGCCCAGGGGGTCACCAGCCCTCCTCAAACAAGTAAGACACAACAAGGACACACATAACCACAATCAACACATGCCTGGAAATCTCAATTGCTTTTTCCCGCGGGTGGCGGCCCAATGGGCTCTCGATCAGCTCCGTCACAAATTACATCAACTTGTAATCCTGCCACAGAAGAAACCCCGCCACACAAGATCCCTTTGGAAATTCCTCTTGTAGCGGATTCTATGTGTGGCGCATTTACACATTGATTTCTTTCGTGCCCGATTCAACCGCCGAGGAGGCAATGGACCGCCAGCCTCAAGGAATCGATAGAAAACTGAACGTGCAATATTTTAGGGTTTTCTCTTGGGGAGAGGCTGGTGCCCTGCCGGGCGCTCAACAATCTTGCACGCCCTGCCACAGTAGGGATCCGCTAGCGGCGGGTTACACAAGTATCTCTTTTGTGACGGACACACGGGTTCTTTGTGTTGCAAATTACAGAATGATTCCTTGTGGCGGATTACAGAAGATGCCCTGTATGGTGCATTGCAGAAGGCTCTCTTTGCTTGCGTTTTACAAAAAGGATTCCCTGTGTGGCGGATTACAAAACGGTTCCTTCTTGTAGTGTGGCCAGTAAAACAAAAATGGACCAAACAAGGTGAGAGTCCCATACGCTTTTTACTACAATATTTTTCCCTGGTGCCCTCTGAGCCCTCGGTCAACTTGTACGTCCGCTACTTGTGGCGAATCATAACATGCTTCATGTTGCAGCGGATTACGTAAATATTCCTTTTGCGGCGTGGCCAATAGCCCAGACAACTTTTATACGGCGTTTCATGCTTTCCCCAACCATCCTGCGGTGTTGGGTCCTCGTTTTGAAAAATACAACGCCCCGCGTTCCTTCTCCTCCTCGCCCCTCCTCCCCACTTCGGCACACCCCCCACACGTGCCGTGGCCACATAGGGAGATCCATCGAAGGCCCCAACGGTTGTAACCACGTGCGTCCGCGCCACCCGGTACCGCGTTTCGTGGTCCCGTAGGGAGCTCCACCGAAGCCCCCAGTAGCTGTTTCCACATGCGTTCGCGCCACCCAGTACAGCCTTCCATAGGGAGCTGCATCGAAGGCCCGAATGGCTGCGACCACATGCGTCCGCACCACCCAGTACAGCGTTCCATAGGGAGCTCCACCGAAGCCCCCAGCGGCTGTGGCCACATGCGTCCGCGCCACCCAGTACAGCGTTTGGTGACATGGGGAGTTCCACCGAAGGCCCCAGTAGCTGTGACCGCGCCATCCTGTACAGCGTTTCGTGGCCTCATAGGGGGATCCACCGAAGGCCCAAGTGGCTGCTACCACATGCATCCGCACCACCCAGTACAGCGCTTCGTGGCCCCATGGGGAGCTCCACCGAAGGCCCCAATGGCTGTGACCACATGCGTCCGCGCCGCCCAGTACAGCGCTTCGTGGCCCCATGTGGAGCTCCACCGAAAGCCTCAGTGGCTGTGACCACATGCGTCCGCGCCACCCAGTACAGCGTTTCGTGGCCCCAAGCGGAGCTTCACCAAACGCCCCAGTGGCTGTGATCACATGCCGTTCCCTGGATCCATTTCGGCACGCCCCTCGCACGTGCTGTGGCCTGTCTTTAAGGAACTCTACCGAAGGCCTCGTGGCGGTGTCCGCATGCTCCCCCCGACTCATGTCGGCATACCACTCACACGTCCAGTGGCCACATAAGGAGCTTCCCCTCCTCCGTCCCACCTGCATTGCGGTACTGACAATTGCATACTGTATGGTTGGTTGGGTGCTTCTCCAAGATCATTTTTCACAGGTTATATCATTCTTGTTTCCCTGGTACCCTCTGAGCCCTCGGTCAACTTGTACGTCCGCCATGATGCAAATCATTTTGTGGCAGATTCTAGAAAGTATACAGGACATCCCTTCCTTATATATTGAACAGGGTTTCCGTTTGTGGAGAAGTAAACAAGCATGGAAAGAGAGAACGACAGAAAGAGAATTAAAGATGTAGAGAAGAGAAGAAACGCAACATGGAAAGAACGCGACCAAGTCAACCCGAGTGAATTTTCTGTCTTTCCCCCCACCCTCCCGGAGGGCCGCTCACCACCGGTCCGCCACCCCCCTCCGACGCGCTGCCGATCCTCGTAGATGCTCACCATCGCGTCCGACCTCTCCTGGAAGAACGAACCACTGCATACCAAGTGAACTCTGGGAGCTCCGCGCGGACTTCTTTGGATCGGCGCCGCACCCCCCGCCCTGGCGCGCGGAGCGCGTCAGGGGTGGCGCCGGAGGCGCCGCCAGGGGGGCCAGCGCTGAGCCGAGGAATGCGCACGGAGATCCGAAAGCTCGTGCTCGCGCCGTCTTTTCCTCTCCGATCTCCACCAGCCCCGCCAGGCGCGGACAGAGCTGGGCCAGCTGGCCCAGCACGAACCTCGGGGGTCCCAAAATCGTGTGGGGACAGATCGCCCGGTGACCTCGAAATCCCAAGAGACCTCACCGCGCGGTCCGCCACCGCACGGTTGTGGGACCCTGGAGGCCCGAGTCGCCCGAGACGTCCTCGGAGAACGACTCGGGTCCCCGAACCGCGCGGTGACCCCGAGTCCTCACTGGCTAACCACGCGGTGTGGCCACCACACTCCGGTGGCAACACCTGGGAGCATCCCATGTCATCATGCTGGCCCTTGCGGGTCGACGCTGGCAGTCGCTGGTCGCTGCCAGTCGACGCTACATCGATGCTAGTCGACGCTGAACCAGCGCTCTCTCATCGATCACCACACGCTAATGCACTCAATCGCACGCATATTATGCGATTTATCGGGGAGACGTAAGACTCCGGTTCGGGGGACTCGGGTTGGCCTGACGGGGGGCGTCATGAAAATGACGAGTCCCAATCTCAAATTTGACGCGGAATCCAGCTGCAAGCTTCTACGAAACATGTGCCGTCAGAATGCATAACGGGTTCGTCAAAAAGCCCGTGCTCCAGCGAACTCGAGTCGTATGTTTCCCCGACTCTAGCGAACCACGCCGCTTACCAAACATGCGATGCCTTGATTTTTCCAATACGGGGTCCCCGGAAGCCCCGACCCCTTGCTATGGGACCAACTTTTCATCCTGATGCCCTTTTCTGACAGCCCCAGGGCCCGGCAAAGGCGCCCAGAGGCCGAAATCGGCCAAAACACTTCCGTCCTGAGTTTTGCGATACGCGAGCGAGCGTCTCTGCGTTGCGATGGCACCCGTCGACGCGGCGCATCAGCTGCCGCAGGCGCGGGAAGTCCCCAGCTGGCCTCTTGGGCGCGCCCTCGCCTGGCCGGCAGGGGGCGAGGCCCGCCGACGGCTGCGCGCCGGCCGAATCCCAGAGCAGCTCGCCCGGGCTGGTCCTCGGGTGCAGGCCCTGAAATCCTGGCGTTGCGAATTTAAGAAGAGTGCGATCCAGCGTCGCTGGCCTGAAACATGTCAGTCAGAGGGGTCAGAAACCAGGGAGCCCCCCTAAACAAATCCTGAGGAGGTGGGTCAGGAACCAGGGCCCCTCCCTCAAAACCCGCCCCCTCCACCCACAAAAAACCGGGGTCTGGGCGCAGGTGGTCTAGGACGTTTCCTTTTCCAACCTCATTTCTTCCCTGCCCGGGAGGTTTACCTTCCCCCCCCCCTCCCTGGGTCTGGACGGGCTCCCCCACGAGGTGGCAGAGGATCCTTTTTGGCCCAAGATGGCTCCAAGAGGGCCTCAGAGAGCGCAAGATGGCCTCCAAGATGGCCCAATATAGTGGTATATAGATGGTTCAAGATAGCCTCAGAAGGTTTCAAGTGCCCTCCGAGCCCTCCAAAGACCTCCCCAAGAGGCCAACATCCATCAAAAGCCTGAGGAACATCAATGTGTTTTGCCTTCTCGCTTTTTCGCCTCCGTTGGGCTCTTGAGGCCTTGAAATGGCCCCAAGAGGCAAGAGAGCCCCAAGAGGGGCCCAAGAGGGCCCCAAGAGGGCCTCAAGAGCGCTCCAAGAATGACCCAAACAGGCCCCACAACGACGTTTTTGAGACTCCGATGGGGGGGGGGGGGTAGAACTTAGTACCCTCCTCTTTTTGAACAGAGGGACCCAAAACGGCACCACGAGGCCTCCCAGATCCCCCCCAAGAGCCCCAAGAGGGCCCCCAAGACCCTCCAAAAGAGCCCCAAGAGGGCTCCAAAAAGGCCCTAAGAGGACCCCAAGAGGGCCAGCAGCAACACCACCACCAGGAACACCACACGCAGCAGTGCCAGCAGCAGCACCAGCACCACCACCAGCAACAGCAGCAACAGCATCAACGGCACGAGCATCGGAAGCAGCATCAGCAGTAGACATGCTTCCCACAGGGAACACCATGGCGCATCTTGCACGGATTTCTTTCCGGAGCTTCATTCCGCGAAATTATTTGTGGTCCTTGTTTCTGGCCCCAGGGTACTGCCAACCCAGTTTGGACGCTTCCAAATGGCTGTGCGCCCGCGTGCTTCCAGGCGTCCCTGATTAACCAACTCACTCGGGAATCGTTTCTGAATGGGCTGGTGGGGATACTTTTCGTCAGCAAGTTCGCGAGGCGGGTCGAAAGCCGTCCGAACACTAGTCGGGCCGCGACTAAGCAGCAGGAGAAGAAAGGCAAGCGAAGCGAACGAGCGGGCAGCCACTCAGAAACAGAGCCAGAACAGATACTCTCAAACCCGGTGGGTACGCGAGGCGTACAGATTTTTTGTGGGTGTACATTCCCCCCCGGAAAATTATACGAGAGGTCCAACTACCACCCATTTGGCAACGACGACGACGTCGCCGCCGCCAATAAACGACGCGGATGAGACGACGATGGCGACGCTGGCGACGGCGAAAGTGTCAGCGGCGGCGCACCCATTGCCGGCACCCGTGACAGGCGCCAACTCTGATAGAATGCTACTGGGGCTCGGTGCTACACGAGTAGAAGCCTACTAAGACTCGATCAATCTCTGACAGAATTCTGGTACTAGGGCTGGATGCAGCACTGATGCAATCCTATGGGGGATCGATCATGCTAAAATATCAGCCAACGTTGACTCCAAATAGATTAGACGTCTCAAATGAAGGAATCCGAGAAATCGAGCATGCTTGGAATCCGCAACTCAGCAAGCAAGCCAGCGTGCAAGCAAGCGCGCAAGCAAGCAAGCGTGCAAGCGCGCAAGGAGCGCTAGTGCGCACGCAAGCAAGCAAACAAGCGCGCAAGCAAGCAAGCATACATAAAAGGGAGGTGCCATTGGAACAAAAAGAGGAATGGGCATAGGCTAGGCATAGCCATAGGAATTCGGGGGGCATAGGAAGTATGGGGGGGGGAGCGGACCAACTAGTAAGGTTTGAGCCAGGACTCCGATCGGGCAAGCTTATTTGGATACTAGAACCCTACCACGGCTCGGTCCAGCTTTGATTGTGCTCTACTGCTGGATCCAACTATCCACCTCTGATGGGGTCCTAATACGGCACATTCCAAATTTAACGCAGGCCTAGTAGGGTTCGATGTAGTTGTTTGTTCTTGTTTTTTCTTTTCAAGCATCCTACTAGGGCTCGATCCAGCCTCAAGAATCCTATTGCAAATCCAACCTTTGAACGATTATCACTATGGGTCGAGCCAGCTCTGAGAGAATCCCATTGGGGCTGGATTTCGCTTTCATAGAGTTCTTATAAGGCGGGATTCAGCCCTGATCGGACCCTACCAGGGCTCGATCCAGCTCTAACAAAAGCCTGCCAGGATGCTAGGACACCAGCCAGCTTTAACAACATACTTCTAAGGGCGCTCCAAGCTCTCTTAGATTTGTACTCGGGCTCGACATTTATAATATATATATATATATATATATATATATATCGTGCCACCATTCTCACGCCATGGCCACGCCTCGCAGAGGTCAATCTATGTGCGAGTGGAAAGGCTACTCGCTGGCAGGGAAGACACTCGCGCACACAGACAGAGGATGAATTCATACGTTAGTCAACTCCGCTGTCGAGTCGAAGCATGGGCGGGCAGAAACATTTGCGACAGTGCATATAAGGAGCAAGGGAGGGAGCTTGAGCGAGACAGTTACGGAAAACATATAGGCAATATTCTAGCTTGCCACCAGAAGTACCGACCCTTTTTAATTGAAAGGGGTCGGTTTCTGTCTCAGCCCGCGTGACGAGATTCGGCCAACTTCGTTCGAGAGGGGCCCCAAGATCAATGTGCAAGTACGGGCAGATCTCTTGCCACCTTTCTCACGCCATGGCCACGCCTCGCAGAGGTCAATCTATGTGCGAGTGGAAAGGCTACTCGCTGGCAGGGAAGACACTCGCGCACACAGACAGAGGATGAATTCATACGTTAGTCAACTCCAAACTGAGACCTCTCCAAAATCTAAACATGGCACGCCGTTCAGATCAATCTCTCTCTTAGGTTACACACAGCACGAGCAATCATGGAAGCGCGACACTGAATGACAAGACGCCTGCACAAGGGTCGAGGATAAGGCTCAGCTGTCTTAGTAAGCCATCTACCATCGGGACCCTTACCATGCAACACAACATGCCTTCTACCAGTGCGATCACACTTATGTTCATTCCTAGCACTATGACATGCGCGCGCTGCCGCACTCAAGTCAAGATGAGCATACATGATTCTCGTTCGCTTCCGCCAGGGAGCGCCATCCATGCAGAAATCTGTCACAGTCTCTCTCACCCCAGGCCGCTGGCCGGCGGCCTGCATGTAGGGCGTCAGCCACGGGCGGGGCGACGCGGGGTTCTCCAACGCCGCCGGCACGCCCCGCTCGAGGCAGCACAGGAGGGCCTTGGCGGAGAAGCGGCAGAGCTCGTTCGCCACTTCCACCTTCACCCTGTCGCCCTCCGACAGCCCGTCCAGGCCCAGCGGCTGCTCATCCGAGCGCAGCCGAGGCGGCCCGGCCCCGGAGTCCCGCGCCCGCGAGAAGGTCGCGCAGGGCGTTCCCAGCCAGATCGCCTTACAGCACCCCGAGCGGATCCAGCCCAGGATGAGACGCTGAGCTGCTCTGCGGCTGAGATCGTGTGAGCTGTGGAAGCCGACGTCGATCTCGAAGATGGGCAGGCCCCAGGGCGCCTGCTGCCTCCAACAGTGGTTGAGGCGCCCGCTGCCCGCGAAGATCTCCAGCGCGAAGCCCTCGGCCCCGGCTAGCCGCGGTATGTCCGCGAGAGGCACGCGCCGAGGGTGCGCTCGGCCTCCAGCGCCGCGTTGAGCTCCTCCGCCGTCAGAGACTGCAGCACCTGGTTGACGCGCCCTCCTTTCTCGTACCGCTTCACGGAGTGCTGGCTGTGCCACCTGCCTCTGCGCATGAGGTCCTCCGAGCTGCGGAACTGCGTGAGCGCCTCGTGGGGCGCGCCGCCGTGCCGGAGCTGGTATAGCGTGGGCGCGGCGAGGCTGGGAAACCGCCGCCTGGCCGCCGCCCTCAGGGCCTCCTGCCACTGGGCCGCGCTCAGCGGGAAGAGAGGCTTCCCGACCGGCACGCTCTTGAGCAGCCACTCCAGCAGCGGCAGCACCAGGTCGAACTCGGGGTTGTCGAACACCATGCACTCGTCCTGCGCCCCCACCTTCGAGGTCACTCCTCTCTCTTGGGGGTGGAGCACCACTGACCACTTGCGGCGGCTGCGGCCTCCGCCTCGCACCGGAGCCACCAGGCAGCCGCCCGCCAACCTCAGCGTCTCCGCCGGCCTCAGCAGCAGCACGAACGCCACAAGGGTGGCCCCTGCGGCCGCCAGCTGCCCCTGCGCGTGCATCTCCTTCACCGAGGCAGCAACCGCAGGCCACGGCAGCGGCAGGCGCGAGCTGGACGGGTTGTGACGCCTCCAGCCCTGGAGCGCCCGCCGCGAGCGTCGCAGCTCCAGCGCCCCACGGGGCACCCCCGGGAGCAGGTGGCCCAGCGCCGCCAGCATCTTCGTGCCGGTCGCCAGGGGCTCGCCCTCGAAGAACTGCTCGTTCAGCCACTCCACCAGCGCCGCGTCGGCCTTGGCTGGAGTCTCCCAGATGAGACCCTTCTCCGAGGCCCAGCGCGTGAAACAGCCGAAGCGGTGGCGGTAGTCCTTCTGCGTCGAGGGCCCCACTGCCTCGTCCTCCAGCACCGTCAGCGCGCGCGCCCCCGGGGGCACCCCCCGCTCCAGCTGCGTCAGCCCGGGCCCCAGCAGCGCCCGCCGCCTGCCGTCGGCGGCAACCTCGCGGCTGGCGCCCGCGAGCTGGTGCGCGGCCGAGCTCGCGCCAGCGGCCCTGCTTGCGGCCTGCCGGCGGCGCCGCCTCGCCTCCCCCAGGCTCCCGTTCGCCTTCCTCTTCACCCCCGCTCGGGTCGCTGGGGTGAGCGAGCCCAGGCGGCGGCCGGAAGACGAAGCTATCGGTCCCCTCGCAGCCGATGAAGCCGCCGGTGACGGGATCCACGAACTCAAAGCCGCTGAGGTCGTGGCGAGCGAGGCGCTCCCGAGCCGTCGATCCGTCGGCCCGCGGCTCAGCATGCCGGGCAGCCGCGGCGCTGCGCCCCTCAGAGCCCCGCGAGGCGCCGTCCGCCGCGTTCCGCTCGGAGCAGATCCAGCGACGTGGACGACGGCAAAGCTGGCCAGGCACAGGGCAGCCCACTGCCTAAGGCAGCGCCCCATGGCCCGGCTCGAGCTCCGCCCCTTTGCCACACCGAGCACAACGGCCATGGCATCACTGAGAACGAGGTGTCTGCGTCCTATAGCACGGCTGTCCCGAAGAATGTGACGAAGGGCCCACGCGCCGGCCCGAGCTTCCAAGATCACGTGGTCCCCCGAGACGTTCCAAGGCCTACTAGCCACGCGTCTCCAGCACCCGCCCCAGACAGACCTGGGCACCGCAGGCGCCCCTCGAAGATCACCTTGCTCTTGTCCCCAGACTCCCTCCTCGTCACGTGGTCGTGCCCGTTGCTCCCCCGACTTTGTGAACCTCCACCTATCAGAGTACTGCCCAGCATACTTGATCGCTCCGAGCTCGCATCGCCGCTCCATCACCCCGTGCCCCCACTCGCTCGCGTCGAACACGGTGACCTTGGGGCTCCACTCCATGTTGAGCTCTCTCGAGGCCAGGGGCACCAGGCGACTTGTCCACTCCAGCTCCTGCTTTACTGTGTCCCAGAGAGGCGCAACCCGAACAGGATGACGATCGATAAAAGCGTAGACAGTGTGAAGTACAGAAAGGATGGGTCGTCGGAGCAAGACGCGGCACATGATGTGACCAACGATGCTTCTCAACTGGGCGCCGCTCGCACGACCCCGTCGCAGTAACTCTCGCAAGCCAAGGATGAGGCGCCGGGCGGTGCGAGGGGCGACGCCTACGGCCGGCCGCCACTCATCGAAGTGCCAGCCGAGCGTGTCCCCCCCGCGGCTGCAGGTCACCGGGTGCACGCCAAGCCCGTCGGCCGTCAGCGCCTCGCCGACCTCGGTGGCCATGCGGCGCCCCTCCTCGCCGTCGGCGCCCAGCGCCACGAAATTGTCCACGTGCTCGGTGTGAACCGGCCCTCGGGCAACGGAAGGCGCTGGCCTCCCGTCCACCGGCCGGTTGCCCCCCTCAACGCCCGCGACCCCCTCGGCCACGGCCTCGTGGAGGGCCTGGCAGACGTACAGAGCGCCCTTAAGCCCATGGGCAGCACACTCAGCACGGGCACCAGCTTCTCCCCAGGATGCAGCCGCACTCCGCCAAGCCAGCCCACGCCGACGGCGCCGGCGCAGACAGGCTCCATCCCGAAGTACTCCCGCAGCTCCTCGGGGAGGCCGATGGAGTAGAAGGCGACCTCGATGTCGACTCCCGACACGTGCACCGGCTCGTTCCCCTCGAACTCTAGCCGACCAGAACTGTCTCCAGTAGCCAAGCTCACTCCAGGGGCGTCCTTAAACCAGCAATTGCTCACGCGGCAATCCAGTATAAGACGCTGCTCGCCCCCCTTCTTCCATGCGCAAAATGTGCCCGCGCTCTTTTTGCAGCTGCGCCGATATTCGACGATGCCCCGCTCGTGCAGCATCCGCAGGAGCTTAGCATACTCCTTCGGCTTCTGTCTGATCAGCGGGTCGTTGTAGGCGCGCCGCAGCTGCTGTCGCTCCTCCTCTGCTTCGCCCTCTTCGGACGTCCGAACCAAACTCTTGAGGACCTCGAGAACCTTCACGCCCGCCGAGCCGCCAACATCCTGGATGCGAGCAGGTCGGCGCTGGAGACTGGGCAAGGCCACCCGCTCCACCTCGAGGGGCGCAACAGCTCCGGCGGAACCGCCGTAGCTCTGCTTCGACAGGAGCTCCTCCAGGGCTCCCTGTCCATGCAAGTCGGCCGGGGGCGTACCGAGGTCGCGATGCGCCTGCTCGATCCGCTCCAGCCACGCCAACTGCGCCGCGCTGGGCTGCAAATTCGAGCCGCTCGGGTGGTTTGATCCCCCGTGCAGCTCATTGAGGGTGGCGATGGTCCCGGAGACTCCGTCCTCATGATGACGCCTCCGATGTCCTCGCCGGCGGACTGCATGGCTCAAGAACTTGCTCCCGCCACCCGCTTCCCCGACCAGCTCAGACAATGGCGATCGGCTCGAAGGCAGAGGGAGCGGAAGAAGTTAAGTTCACGGGCAACTCGTCGTCGCTCGTGAGGAAGACTGCAAAACTGTGGAGGCTGGCCTCCGCCCCTGCCGCAGGCGGCGCCCGCTGGCGGCCGGGGCCGGGGGGCGGGGGCTCCCGCCCGATCACTCCCCATCCTTCTTCTTGTTCAGGGCCCGGCGCTCTTCCCGCGCCTTCCGCACCTGCTTCATGATGTTCGCATCCCTCTCGACCTCGCGCGATGCGAAGTCCATCAACTCCGGCGCCAGCATGACGGCCCCAGCGTCCCAGTGCTGACCAGTGAACACCAGGGCCTCGTCGAGCAAGCCGCCGCCCTTGCCAGCGCCCTTCTTGCCCATGTTGTTGCTCGTCAGCTTGGCGACCCGCTCCTGCTCGTACACGTGCTCCACCAGCTGGGCCTGCCGGAACAGGCCCTCGAAGCTCGCGAGGTTGCAGAGCTCCAGGTGGTCGTAGGTGGCCGCGTCCTCCACCGCCTTGAGGCACATGCGGTGCGCCTCCACGCCCCAGTCGCCCGTCTCGAGCCCGTGGAGCACGATGAAGTACCTGTGGTGATCCATCGGCCCGCCCCCTCGGCGGTTCAGGAACAGCATGCACCACTCGGCCGTCCTCGGGCCTACCACGGGCCAGTCGGCGAAGTCCGTCACGCTGGACTTCCCGACAATGTCCCGCCACTGGCTTCGCGCCCGCCCCGCGTCGCCGAGGTCCACGCCCAGGATCCTCGCGTCGCTGGCGGCCTCGGCTCCGACCCGGCCCACCACCTCGCATCGCTTCAGCTGACGAAGGCAGAGGGACGACCCACGAGGCGTGGTGGCGAGCGCTCTCTCTCCAAGCACCACGGCGCCAGCGGGCAGCGCCAGCTCCTCGCCGCGCCGATGACGCTCGGTCGTCTCCACCACCACCCACACCACGGTCTGGTCGCCTCCCCCAGCGGCACCGCCTCCAGCACCAGCACCTGCTCCTCCTCCTCCTGCTGGGACGCCGACCCGCCGAGGTCCTCCCGCGGCGGCGGCAGCCCCCGCAACAGCGGCGGCGGGCGCCGCACCCACGGCGGCTCCCCATGCCGGAGCGGCCGGGGGGCCCGCGGCGCCGGCGCCCTGAGCACAGGGCAAGCGCTCGATGTAGCCCCCCGGCGGCACCACGGTGGGGTCGCGCCCGGCGGCCGTCTCGCGAGCCCGATGCTCCGTCCGCTCCATCGCTTCAGCCTGATCCGCGGCGTCGTCGAGCTCCTGCTGGGACGGCGCCGCGCGAAACCTGTGCACGTTGCCTCGCGCCAGCCCCGGCGGGGGCGGCCAGCGCGCCTCAGCGTACCTCACCGCCGAGATGTTCTGCTCCTCCAAGTCGTACTTCTCCGGGTAGCAATCCCCGTCCGGGGTCAGGATGTAGTTAGTCGCCCAAGACACCCTTGAGCTCGCGACGCGCCGCCTCTGGTGCCACAGCTCGCCCTCCCCATTGTAGAAGACGTACACCCACGCGCAGCTCGGGGCCTCCGGCTTGCTCAGCACCGCCGGCATCCTTCGCGGCGCGACGGCGGCAGCAGCAGCCCTGCGCTGCGCCTCGCAGCGCCTCCGCGCCGCAGGCGCCCGCCAGGCCTGAGAGCGCGAGCAGCCCCGCGGCCCAGCTCCACGGCAGCCCGAACTCGAGCTGCACCTCCGGCGCCGCCTGCAGCGGCCGGGGCGCGCCCGGACACGCCGGGCAGCTCGGGCAGGCTGGGATGCTTGGGCACCGACAGCTGCAGTCGGGGCAGTGGTGCTCAGGGCACCGAGGGCAGCTCGACAGGTAGCTGTGCGTCAGCCCTGCCGCCAGCCCAGCCAGGTCGCTCCACATCCACTGCGAGAGCGAACAGAAAGGGGATGTGTGGCCTCTCCACAAATTTAGCTTGAGCGAGACAGTTACGGAAAACACATAGGCAAGATTCTAGCTTGCCACCAGAAAAACCGACCCTTTTTAGTTGAAAAGGGTCGGTTTCTGTCTGAGCCCGCGTAACGAAATTCGGCCAACTTCGTTCGAGAGGGCCCCCAAGATCAATGTACAAGTACGGGCAGATATATATACATATATATATATATGGAATCCTGCTAGGGTTCAATCCAGCTCTAACAGAATCCTACCCGGGCTTGGTCCATCTACCAAGGCTCGATCCAACCCTCATCGAATCCTACTGCGGCTGAATTCAGCTTGAATAGAATCATATCAAGTCTGATGGCATTCTACTACAGCCCGATCCAGCTATCAAGTCACATCTATATAGTGATGAATCCATCCGTCCGTCATGTATAATCCTACATGGGCACGATTCATGTGTAATAGAATCCTGCTATGGCTGGACCCTGCTCTTATAATCTCATGTTCGGGCCCGATCCAAATTTTTATCGCATCCCACTAGGGCCCGATCGTCGGCGTAGTGGTCGTCGTCGGCGTCGTCGCAGGCGTCGTCGTCGTCGTCGTTTTCGTCGTCGTCCTCTCCATCGCCGTCGTCGCTGTCGTCGCTGTCGTCGCTATCGTCGCTGTCGTCTTCGTTGTCGTCTTCGTTGTCGTCTTCGTTGTCGTCGTTGTCGTCGTTGTCGTCGGCGTCGGCGGGCGTCGGCGTCGTCGTCGTGGTCGTCGTGCGTCGTCCGTCGTCGTTGTCGTCGTTGTCGTCGCTGTCGTCGGCGTCGGCGTCGGCGTCGGCGGCGTCGTCGTCGTCGTCGTCCTCGTCGTCGTCGTCGTCGTCGTCGTCCGTCGTCGTCCGTCGTCCGTCGTCCGTTGTCGTCGTCGTCGTCGTTGCCGGGGAGGGGGGGGGGTATCTGGACCTCTCGAATGATTTTCCAAGCGTTTGGGGGTGTTCTGCACCCCTCCGAATAATTCCCCGTGGGGGGGGGGTCTGGACACCCCCCTCTCCCCGTGTTTTTTGTGTCCCCTCCTCCCCTGCCAGCAGTGGCAGAAAGCATTCTGTCCGATTTTTCACCACGGGCGTGTTCTCCCAGCTGTGGGCCCCGGGGCCCTCACAAGTCTATCCGGCTTGAAAAATGGCACAGAAAGATGAGGTCTGGGGCTCTGGTGGTGATTTTCGCAGTGTCGCATTGCCTTTCGCAATGCCAGGTCTGACGGGTGACGGGTCGTCCCTGCATTCCTACAAACCTACCACGCTATGCTCTGTGGATAAAAGAATGTTCTAACAACAAACGCAATGTTCTTATACCATACGACATATTGTTTGACATAGGACGGTCTCATCCAGACACGTTCTAAGAACATTTCGTGCGAACCACCAAAGATTATGATATCATGTGTTGGTGGGTGTATGAGCAATACAGGACGCTTGGAAACTGCTTGATCAAAGGAGAAGAACAGCTGCATAAGCATAAACTTAAGAGGCCCCCAAAAGCCAATCATGTGCCCCCAAGAGCCCTCCAAAAGACCCCTCAGAGGCAGTCCAGTAGACCCTCACATGCACCCCTCCGCTGCTCCTGACCCACAGGCGCACAGTGGCACGACTCTTGACGATTTCATTGTTGTGGTTAGGTCGGGCGTGTCCCCCTACAGGGGGATTTTGGACGAAAAATAAACGTAGTAAAAACATACTCAAAAACTACGCACAATAGTCAACACATCGTCCCCAGACTTTTTTCTATCAAACATATGTTTGAATGTTCCTCCTGTAGAGGGACACGCCCGACTTCATGTTATGGGGGTCGGCGGAATGGAGTAAGCTTTTTGAAGAAACACACATGAACTTTCGGAGGTCCGCGCTGATCTCATGGCTCTGCGCTGGACTCCCCTGGCGACGCCTCTGGCGCTGCCCCTGGCGCGCGCCGCACGCCAAGCAGGGGGGGGAGGAGGAGGAGGAGAAAGAGGAGGAGGACGAGGAGGAGGAGGAATAGCAGAGGGGAGGAGGAGGAGGAGGATGAGCAGGAGGAGGAGAAGGAGGAGGATGAAGAGGAGGAGGAGGAGGACGAAGAGGAAGAGGAGGAGGAGGAGGAAGTCCAGCGCCGGTCCAAGACATCCGCGCGGACCTCCGAAGTTGATGCTCATGCCGCTCTTCGTTCCTTTGGGCTCTAGGTTTAGGTCGGGCCTGTCCCCCTACAGGCGGATCCTGGACAACAAATCATCATCATCTTTATCATCTTCATCATCATCATCACCATCACCATCACCATCACCATCACCATCACCATCACCGTCATCATCACCATCACCATCACCATCACCATCACCATCACCATCACCGTCATCATCATCATCATCACCATCATCATCATCATCATGATTCTTATCATCATCATCATCATCACCACCACCATCATCATCATCATCATGATCATGATTCTTATCATCATCATCATCACCATCATCATCATGATCATGATTCTTATCATCATCATCATCATCATCATCATCATCATCATCATCATCATCATCATCATCATTATCGCTCTTCGTGCCTCTGAGCTCCAGGTCCTGTGCTCGCCGCACACCCAGAAGACCCTGTCAGACCGCACGTCGGGCACGGCGAGCTGGGCGCCCTCCCGGCCGTGGCCGACCCAGACCTTGGCGACCTCGAAGTCGGCGTCGTGGCAGGCGAGCTCCTCGGCCCAGGAGAGCCCAGAATGAAGTCGGGCCTGTCCCTCTACAGGAGGAATAATCAGAAATTGTGTAAAGAAATAGCCTGGGCACGATGTTTGAACTATTTTCTGCTGTTCTTGAGCATTTTTTGACAATCTTTTATTTTTCGTCCAAAATCCACCTGTAGGAGGACATGCCCGACCTAAGCCCAGAATCGAATCGACAAGTCGAATCGGCGATCGAAATGAATCGGATCGGCGAAGATCGGCAACCAGGTCGGGAGGAGTCGGAATCGGCGGAGATCGGCGGTCTACAAGGCCTCCATGGAGACATCGGGGTTCGAATCGGAATCCGAGGTCGAATCGAATCGGAATCGGAATCCATCGAAATCGAATCGAGTCGAATTGGAGGAATCGAAACGAGCCCTGTCGGCCACACGCAAGAGCGACCCTGGGGAGGGGTAGCCTTTGGTGCCTTCAGGGGGCCGCGGGGAGACCAAATCCAGGCGCGCAAGCTGGTGCTGGGGGAACCCCGGGGAACCCCTGTTGGAGGGCGAGTTGAAACAACGGCAGCTCAACATCGGTCTCTGGACCCCCCTTGGGGTCCAAGCGGAAGCCGCGTCCACCCTTGGCGACGGGGCCTCACCCGAAAGCCAACCACAGCTGTCTCAATTGGCCCTCCTCTGACCCCTGTGAGCCCGCACCAGAAGTCACTCGGGCGAAGGGCCACTCTTACGACTGGCGTTGGAAACAAAGCGTGCAACATCGATCTCCGAAAAGCACGCTATTCCTATGAGACGACCCCCCCGTGAGGGTCCCTTCTGTGCGCACTATCACCCTGCCAGGGCTTCTTCGGTACACGCTATCCCCGAGGTGCCGAGGCGATTGCAATTACTCGAAGCGGCTTTAGGCGTCCTGCACGGACATGTGCTTGCACCCGGCGCAGCCTAACTTCACAGCTCGCTGGCTCTACTCTGTTCTGCCATCATCAACGATTGATTGTACTTGCGCTGACATGTAGTTTGCGGCTAGCACAGCAGCGCTCTACGCCTTGGGAGAGAAAGAAGGCGGGGATAGCGTGTATTAAGCGGGCCAGCGGCGCCACAAACGATCGGCCGTTTCCGAAATGTCAGATCGTTCAACCTCGGCCGATTCTGGGTCGCTGGCGGCGCTGAACGTTGAACGCCAGCGGCGGGATCGCCGTCGGTCAACACGACGCGAATCTACTGTACGCGCGGGCGACGCGCTGCCGTCGGCACAACTCGGCTCCCCGGCGGCCGTTCGGGAAGATTCCGGTACCCCCAGAACGCTTTCGGCGAGGCGCAGCCGCTGAAGGCATCCCGAGGCTGGAGAGCATCCGAGAACCGACGAAAACGCCTGAGAAACCTCGAGCGCCGAACGTCTCAGCTCAAACCTCGAACGCCACTAACGGTCAGTCACTCGGGCGAAGGGCCTTTCTTAGAAGATGCATATGAATACTGATAATAATAGTACTCATAAGAAGAGTACTAATAATAATAAGACAAATGATAATTATAGCCGGAGTGCAGTATCCCCAAACAGGGTTTTTAGACCCACTGCGGTTTCCAAGGTTGATTGCGTGCTCGTCCAGTGCGGGCTGGCATGGCATGTTAAAACATGCCTCCTCCTCCTCCTCCTCCTGCTCCTCCTCCTGCTCCTCCTCCTCCTCCACCTCCTCTTCACCCCGAACGGCATCTCGGAGCCCAGAGTTGCGAGGATGTCTCCAGCGTAACGGGCTGGACCACCTCGCGCGCGGCATTTCGGACCCCAGAGTTGCGACGATGTCTCTCGGGCGAAACGTGCTGCGAGGAAGTCTCAGGCGAAACGGGCCGGACCACCTCGAGCGCGGCGTCTCAGAGCTCCGAGTTGCGGGGGCCTTCTGGGGCCTCCTGGGATCTCCTGGTGACCTCCTGGGGCTTCCTCCTGTGCCTCCTGTGACCTCCTGGACCCCACCTGGGGCTTCCTGAAGCCTCTTGGGGCTCCCAGGGGGGGATATCTAACATGTGGCCGTCGGGCGGGGCACAAGAGCAGGAAAAATCAACGAATCGTCACCGGATGTGTATTAACTGGACACGCTCTGATGGGGGGCCTCCTGGGGCCTCCTGGGAGCCTCCTGGGAATCTCCTGGGGACCCTTGGGGCCTGTCCTGGGCGTCCTGCGGCCTCCTGAAGCTCTCTGGGGCCTCCTGGGAGCCACATGTGGTCTTCTGGGCCCCCAGGCTGGACCACCTCTTGCGCAGCATCTGAGAGCTCAGAGTTGCGAGAATGTCTGGTGCGAAACGGGCCGGACCACCTTGCGCACAGCATCTCAGAGCTCAGAGTTGCGAGGATGTCTCAGGCGAGATGGGCCGGACCACCTCGCGCAGGGCATCTCGGAGCCCAGAGTTGCGAGGATGTCTCCAGCGTAACGGGCTGGACCACCTCGCGCGCGGCATTTCGGACCCCAGAGTTGCGACGATGTCTCGGGCGAAACGTGCTGCGAGGAAGTCTCAGGCGAAACGGGCCGGACCACCTCGAGCGCGGCGTCTCAGAGCTCCGAGTTGCGGGGGCCTCCTGGGGCCTCCTGGGACCTCCTGGTGACCTCCTGGGGCTTCCTCCTGGGCCTCCTGTGGCCTCCTGAACCCGACCTGGGGCTTCCTGAAGCCTCTTGGGGCTCCCAGGGGGGGATATCTAACATGTGGCCGTCGGGCCCCCCCAAAATGGGGAGGGAGGGGGCCACAAGAGCAGGAAAAATCAACGAATCGACACTGGATGTGTATTAACTGGACACGTTCTGATGGGGGGCCTCCTGGGGCCTCCTGGGAGCCTCCTGGGAATCTCCTGCGGACCCCTGGGGCCTGTCCTGGGCGTCCTGCGACCTCCTGAAGCTCTCTGGGGGCTCCTGGGGCTCCCAGGGTCCCAGGGGGGATATGTAACATGTGGTCTTCGGGGCCCCCAGGCTGGACCACCTCTTGCGCAGCACCTGAGAGCTCAGAGTTGCGAGAATGTCTTGTGCGAAACGAGCCGGACCACCTTGCGCACGGCATCTCAGAGCTCAGAGTTGCGAGGATGTCTCAGGCGAGATGGGTCGGACCACCTCGCGCAGGGCATCTCGGAGCCCAGAGTTGCGAGGATGTCTCAGGCGTAACGGGCTGGACCACCTCGCGCGCGGCATCTCGGACCCCAGAGTTGCGACGATGTCTCGGGCGAAACGTGCTGCGAGGAAGTCTCAGGCGAAACGGGCCGGACCACCTCGAGCGCGGCGTCTCAGAGCTCCGAGTTGCGGGGGCCTCCTGGTGCCTCCTGGGACCTCTTGGTGCTTCCTCCTGGGCCTCCTGTGGCCTCCTGGACCCCACCTGGGGCTTCCTGAAGCCTCTTGGGGCTCCCAGGGGGGGAACATGTGGCCGTGTGGGCCGTCGGGGGGGGCCACAAGAGCAGGAAAAATCAACGAATCGACACCGGATGTGTATTAACTTGACACGTTCTGATAGGGGGCCTCCTGGGGCCTCCTGGGAGCCTCCTGGGAATCTCCTGCGGACCCCTGGGGCCTGTCCTGGGCGTCCTGCGGCTTCCTGAAGCTCTCTGGGGCCTCCTGGGGCTCCCAGGGTCCCAGGGAGGATATGTAACATGTGGTCTTCTGGGCCCCCAGGCTGGACCACCTCTTGCGCAGCACTGAGAGCTCAGAGTTGCGAGAATGTCTTGTGCGAAACGGGCCGGACCACCTTGCGCACGGCATCTCAGAGCTCAGAGTTGCGAGGATGTCTCAGGCGAGACGGGCAGGTGTCTCGGGCGAAACGTGCTGCGAGGAAGTCTCATGCGAAACGGGCCGGACCACCTCGAGCGCGGCGTCTCAGAGCTCCGAGTTTCGAGGATGTCTCAGGCGAAACGGGCCGGACCACCTCGCGCAGGGCATCTCAGAGCTCAGAGTTTCGAGGATGTCTCAGGCGAAACGGCCCGGACCACCTCTCGCACGGCACCTCGGGGCTCAGAGTTTCGAGGATGCTTCAAGCGAAACGGCCTGGACCACCTCTCGCGCGGCGTCCCGGAGCGCAACTTTTCGATGATGTCTCAGGCGAAACGGCCAATCCTGGCCAACTCAGAAACGAGAGTTGTGAGGATGTCTCAAGCGAAACGGCCCGGACAATCAAATTTTTGTGAGGATGTCTCTGCTCCGACTTCCCTCGGCCGGAGTTAGCTTCTATCACAACAGCACCCCGTTCAGCAAGCTGTTTGGGGAATGATCAAACGAATGATAATAATACTATTATTATTATGATTATTATGATTATTACGGTTATTATGATTATGATTATTATTAGTGTAATTTTATTATTACTACTATTAGTATTATTACTATTATTATTAACATTATTATTATTATTATTACTGATATACTCGTAATGATAATGATGATGTTAACAATATCAACACGAAGAACAGCATAAACATAAACTTTTGGCGCTCCGCGCGGAGCGCCAACAGTTTATATTTATGCCATTTCTTCTTCTTCTGAGCATCGTTTAACCGATCCCCATCCCCACCAGCGTGGGCTGGGCCCCACTGGCCGATTCACCCCCCTGATGGGGATCTAGGCTGCTCTCTTCGGGTTTCGAGGGGCATATCCCCAACTGAGGCGGTGAGACGGTGGGGCTCGAGATGTGGATGGGGATGGGGACAGGGATCGGTTAAACGATACTGATCTTCGACCTCTCGCGCGGCGGGCGAGCTCCGCGTGCAGCCGCTCCACCTCCGCGGCGGGCACAAAGGCGTCGCAGACCGCGAGCCCGCCCGCTTCCAGCAGCGCCGCGGCGGCGCACGCCGCGCGGCGGGCCGCGCCCGCGCTGCCCGACCAGCAGGCGGACACGTCCAGGGCGGGCGGCGGGACCACCTGAGCGACGGAGGAGGAGGAGGAGGAGGGGGAGGAGGAGGAGGAGGAGGAGGAGGAGGAGGAGGAGGAGGAGGAGGAGTTAAAGTAGCCTGAGAGGAGGAGGAGGAGGAGGAGGAGGAGGAGGAGGAGGAGGAGGAGGAGGATTCCAGGAATGGCCGTGCCCATCTCATACAGTGCGGGCGCGGCCGCAAGAAGCCCTCCGAGGAAATCCAGCCCTGAAACCCCGCGACGGAAGGAAAGGCGTCTTCAGGTGAATCCAGGAAGTAGGGGAACGAAGAATGACATAAACAGAAAAACGCGGAGGTCCGCGCGGATTCCTCGGATCCGCGCGGGAACCCCCTGGCGGCGCCTCCAGCGCCGATCCAAGAAATCCGCGGGGACCGCCGAGTTTTTCTGTTTATGTCATTTTGTGTTCCCCTAGGAATGGCCTCGCCCATTTTATACAGCGCGGGCGCGGCCGCAAGAAACCCTCGGAGGAAACCCAGCCCTGAAAACCCGCGCGCGGGGTCCCCTCTGAGGGGAGGCCCGGAGCACCCTGAACGCAGCAGCTTCTTTAACGGCTGCGGGAAGTCACCGCGCAGCGCGCGGAGCGAAGAAATCCAGGATCCCTGACAAAAAGCGCATGGTTTCTTGATGCGCGCCCCCACTGTGGCGTTGCCAACTTGCGGCAGTCACACACCCCGTGTTTCGGGGCACGGCTCGTGACTCGGGAGCCCATCAGGAGCCCCACGGGGCTGATGTGACCCCGTGTTGGCCCCGTTACCCAACGGGTCTGATGCGACCCCGTGTTGGCCATGAACGCCGCTCCAATACAAAGCCCTTTGTGACGCGAACATAAAGTGGTCGGCGCCGAAAACCTTTCGGGGACACGCCCAGATGCCGGAACGGCCCATGATCGCTGGAGCCACGTCTCTCGACATCACGCGAACCATGGCAAGCAACAGTAACCGAAACTCGGCAGCCCCAAAAGCTGCGCGGATCTCCGAAAGTGTATGTTTATGCATTTTTTCTATCTCGATAGAGGAAAAGGGTCTCACGCACGATGACTCAGCGACCTTGCACGGTGGCTTGCGCGGGCCGCCAGCGCGCGGCACGCCCCACTGGAAACAACCCACTTGCGCGGCGGCTTCCGCGGGTCGCCAGCGCGGTTCGCCTCATTGGGCACGGGGGGGCTCCGAGCGCCACCTTGCGCGGGAAGCTGGCGCGCGAACGTCGGCGCAGTCGACCCCCCGTGGGGCTGCTGCAGGATGCCCGCCCGGCGGGCCGCCGCCGCGTCCTGCTCCTGAGGAGGGCCGGGCGGAGGCCACGGGTGGCCTTCCCAGCTCCTCCTCCTCCTCCCTCCTCCCTCCTCCCCCTCCCCCTCCTCCTCCTCCTCCTCCTCCTCCTCCTCCTCCTCCTCCTCCTCCTCCTCCTCCTCCTCCTCCTCCTCCTCCCCCTCACATGCTGCTTCCTCCCGTCGCTCGCCTGCAGGATGGTCTGCGGCCGGCGGTCCGCCAAGACGCCGCGCACGGCCGCCAGCAGGCGCGAGAGCACCTGCTGCTTCACGGCGTAGCCCCTCGCCGTCGCGTTGGCCAGGTTCGCGGCCACCGTCTCGACGACTGCCCAGTCCACCTCTCGAGCAGGGGATCGACTACAGAATTGACTTACCCCCAAGTTTGACTTTCCCGTCGAATCCGCGACAAAGGCGCAGAGTGCTCCGTAGATCTATGGAGCACTCGAAGGATTTCTCGTCGACCCGACGGAGAAATCAACCTTGTCTTAGGTTGGGCATGTCCTCCTACAGGCGGATTCTGGAGGAATAATGAACAATAGTCGAAACATAAGCCCAAATGGTCAAAATATTATAACAATCGCCTCCCAGACTATTTTTTTACTATTGTTGAATATTTCTCCTGCGGAGGGACACGCCCGACTTCAATCTTGAGGAGGAATAGAGGCCTCCTAGATGAGGTCGGAGTAGATGGGGTCGGAGGATCGCGCTGCATCGCCGATACATCGGCGATGCATCGGCGATGCATCGGCGATGCACCAGCGATGCATCGGCGATTTGGGCGATGCATCGGCACCGTTGGCGCGGAGAACATCGGGCTCCACATCGAGCCGAATCGCCGATGCATGGGCGATGCGGCGCGATCCTCCGACCCCATCCACTCCGACCCAAACTGGGAAGCTCAGAAAAACAACTCCATTCAATAATCGTTCCCCTGCCCGAACCTCTGCGCGCCGGGCGGCCAGCGCCTGGAACATCGCGTCCGGGCCGCCCGCCGCGAGCAGGTCCCGGAGCAGCGCCCCGGCGGCCTCGGCCGAGCCCGGGCGGCTCTGCTCGTCCAGCAGGGCGAGGTTCTCCGGCCGCACCCTCCGGCAGGCGCCGCCCACGCGCACCGAGAAGGTTCAGGAGGAAAAGGAGAAAGAGGAGGAGGAGGAGGAGGAGAAGGAGGAGGAGGAGGAGAAGGGGGAGGAGGAGGAGGAGGAGGAGGAGGAGGAGGAGGAGGAGGAGGAGGAGGAGGAGGAGGAGGAGGAGGAGGAGGAGGAGGAGGAGGAGGAGGAGGAGCGAGGAGGAGGAGGAGGAGGAGAGGAGGAGGAGGAGGAGGAGGAGGAGGAGGAGGAGGGAGGAGGGAGGAGGAGGAGGAGGAGGAGGAGGAGGAGGAGGAGGAGGAGGAGGAGGAGGAGGAGGAGGAGGAGGAGGAGGAGGAGGAGGAGGAGGAGTTGAAGTAGCCTGAGAGGAGGATGATGATGATGATTGATGATGATGAGGAGGGAGGAGGAGGAGGAGGAAGGAGGAGGAGGGGAGGAGAGGAGGAGGAGGAGGAGGAGGAGGAGACGGAGGAGTTAAAGTAGCCTGAGAGGAGGAGGAGGAGGAGGAGGAGGAGGAGGAGGAGGAGGAAGAGGAGGAGGAGGAGGAGGAGGAGGAGGAGGAGGAGGAGGAGGAGGAGGAGGAGGAGGAGGTTGGAGGAGGAGGAGGAGGAGTGAGTGAGTGACCCCAATCGCGAAGCGACATCCGACGATTCACGAAACCCGCCCCGCCTGCTTGGCCTTGCTCTGGACCTTCGGCCACTGGCCAGCGGCGATTCGAGACAGATACTCGGACCTGGCGGAATTCGTGGTCTTGAGACAAGGTTGCCCCAGACCCTTCAACATCTGACTGGCAAAGCACCCGCACCGACTACAGAACCAGAGCTTCAAAGTGCCGTGCAGGGTGAGTTGGTGCGAGGGGTCTGCCCACCCCCCCCGCTAGGTGCAACCTGACTCCAGACGGGACCCTGAAAAAATCATCGTGCACGTGGACAGGATGAAAACACGGGGTACTCCTCCAAACAGGCAGCCTAGCTATGGCAGCGGAGCTGCAGCACCTACTACACTTACGACCAGTCTCGTCAAACTGATGGGAGGTGGTGAAAGTCTGAATCGCAGAAAAAGCAGGAGGAGGGGGAGGAGGTGGCTCACGTTGTTTCTTCCCGAGAGGCTCCTGACGTTTCTCTGCGACAATGGTGTCGAGCGTGGCGCGGAGTAGGCGAAGCCGAACGAGAAGAACCCTCTGCTCCCACTGCTCAGCTCGCACTCTCTCCTCTGCGCTGACCTGCGCGCGACTGGCTGCAGACCCTGCAAGTATATCCGCCACAGCATTTCCCAATATCATCCACATCGGGAATTTCCCAGATAACGCTTCACGGGCCTCCAGATGTGAGTTGACGAACAACACCACAAACGAGGCTGGGTCCCTGGAGGAATCGAAAACAGCTCCTATACGATGCCAAAGATCGGCGTCTGGTCCCGAGGGCTCACGATACAATTTTGAGGCCCATCCTTCAGCAACATATTCATTGTCCGTTGTGTACACCACTCGGCCCGACGAATGTTCAGCGGCCAAGAGAAGGGCCCGAAGTTCTCCACGAGAAACTGACTGCCGTTCTCCTGCAAGCCCGCCAGACATCGAACTGTCGATCTCGAGAGGTTCGAAAGAACAGATACAGGCAACCGAAACGCCCACGCGGCGATACCTTGTGCGCCCCGATAATTCACCGCCGCTGGCATCTCCAAACAGGAAGATCGGGGCGTCCCGCGAGCCGTGTCCGAACGCCCCTGTCAAAAGAATCTCTCCTGATGCCTGCCAGTGCTCCTCCTGCGACGGAGGCGAAACCTGAACGAGATGGGATGGGAGAAGCCCGCGGAGCCAGAAACATTCCATGGATTCCCAGCTGGAATAGGCCTCCCCCACCAAGCACTCTGAACACTTGTAGGCTGCAGCTTCTACATTGTGACTGCAGTCCCACATGCGATGGAATGGTTTCTCTGGAGCCTCACCGCACCGAGGGCACTTCGTGTCGAAGGGCTTGCCCTTGGTCGCAAGGAAATCCCCGCGGCGAGAACGAGTCCAGTACCCTCCAGCTGCGATGGTGACCAGTAGTTCTGCTAGCCGAGCTCCACGGTCGACCGACTGCAATTGCGAGTACAGCTGTCGCAGGGACGTGCAGTCGATGCCGCCTTCCATGCCACCGCCGCAAAAGTGTCGAGATGCCTGCTCCCACAGAGACGATCGAATATAATTCTGCACGTCGCGGATGAGGTGGCCTGGGTCATCGACATCAGGCCATCCTGTCCACGCTGAGTCGGGGAAGTGCCATTCGATGGATTCATCCTGTGGACCGGCTGCAGGCTTGAACCATTCGGTAGCTGAACGTGGGCCCCATCCGTTATTCAACAACAAAGTGATGACTGCAGAAACTGGTCCACGTATGTGCCGCGTGCGCTGCTGTGATGGAATGGCACGAAGCTTCTCCACCAGGGGGTCCCACACGCGGCAAACTCCACGTCTAAGTCCTGGCTCCTCCTGCCAGACTCGAAACCATTGTCGTAGCATCTCTTCTGGTAGTTTGAGTGCTGGGTCATGCGGGGCTCGCAGTGCTAGGACCGTGGTGAGACAGCGACCCTTGGACGGGGCCGCCACCACAGCACCTAGCCGTTGTCGAGCCTGGCGCAGGTAGACACCGTACGTGCCGTGTATCTGGTGTCCGTATAGCCCAGCAGCCTGAGCTCCGAGCCGCTCAAGCTTCGATGTGATGGCATATCGTCGCCCTGCACGGGCGAACTTGCGCACCTAGGTGTTCATCAGCCGATGCTTGTCCGCTCTCCTGCGTCTCGTAGCCCGAGCATGGCGACCGCCATCTCCTAAGTCCGTGCCTAGGAAGCCTGCAGTGCGTTGTGCTCGCACTTGGAAGCCCGCAACTCGAAGGGCACGGCAGACCTGAAGAGTATCTGAGTGGTGAGCACACACCACCACTGACTTGGATGCCACCTGAAGCTTCATCGCTCGAAGGCCCTTGCACGTGTCGCGGAGGCTGGCGACAAGTTGTTGCCGTGCACTGTCGCGAGAGCCTACTGCACGCTGAGCCAGATCATCCACCCATATGCGGTGACCCATCCGAGGATGAGCTGAACAGATCCTGTCGAGAACGAAATAGACCATGATCATTCCAAACCGTGTGCCTGACCGAAGGCCCTGGACCACCGACCTCGTGGGCACGATGGGGAGAGCCCACGAGCTGCACTGCCCCAGAGCTCGAGGCGCCATGCATTGCAGCACCTCCAAACACAAGATGGCTGCTGGAAATCCTAGTTGCAAACCCTTGGGTATTAGCAGCTCCCACACAATATTGTCGTAGAAGCCGTCGATATCTAAACATCCTGCTCCAGAAACCACACCGAGTTGATGCCCGACCTCCTCCTCCAGGGTGCGAACGAAGGCTTCGCGGAGAGCCGCGTTGCCCTTCGCTGCAGCGTCCCAGTAGGGGGCCGAGGAGTCCGACCATTGTCGAACTACTGGCTCTCTGATGAGCGACCACAACCTGCTGAACATAGAAAGACGACCTATGATTCGGTCGCCTTCTGTCTTCTTCGGCAGAAGGCGACCGAGGGTAATCATGATCTGGCGTGGCCAGACAGGCTCAGCTTCGATCATCATGTACAGATCTGCCAGCTCGTCCAGCGCCGTCAGAGGCAAGCGCTCGAAGTCTATGGGTGACATGCGATCGCATCCTTGTCCAGCTCGCGCAGGCATGCGCCTGGCTGCCTCTCTGACATCGGCGCCAGTGATGGGAGGCAAGGGCTCGAGTTCTGCACGTTCGCGACCCTGCCGAAAAGCCTCCTGAATGGCAGCCTCCGTGGACAAAGACGGTGCCCACTTCTGCCGCCACTTCAGAGCTTTGTGATCGACCAGGTCTAACGGCTGAAACAAAATGTCGTATCCGACTTCGATCTCATGCTTGACCATTGCCTCCTGACGTAGACTGCGATGAAGCGGACCAAGCGCCGACTGCTCGGTCATCCACTTGCCAAACTTCTGCATGTATGCATGGACCGAGCGCTGCTGTCCGCGGTCTGCGATCTTCTCAGAAGCGGCTGCAAAACTCTGAAGACGCATGGCATCCACTGTAGCAGCACCGCTCTGCATGTCAGCCGCCATCTCGACCCAGTCGTCCCAGGTGGATCACGGCCGTTGAGAAGGGCATGAGCTGAGTCGGGACGCGAGTCCATCTGCAAGGCCAGCGCTGCAATCAGACGAGCCCGTTGCTGATGTCCATTGTCTCGAACGTAGTGCCGAGCGAGTCCTGCATAAATTGTGTGAAGCCGCCCCCACCAACCAGCCACAAGGTCTGCGCACGTCGCGACGCGAGTGCGCTCCTGCCGTTGGAGGGCGGCTATACGAAAACTGGGTCCACTGCCTCGCAGGACTCCAGAAGTTGCCTGAAGAGAATGATGCCGTTGGATACTCAGCTCCGCCGAACGTACCCATGATGCGTACAAGGAGGCTATAGCCTGAGAGGTGCCAGGCTCATGGAGCCGAAATGCTACGGATTGCTCGAAACCTGGAGCTGGTGGGCACTCGTTGCTGGGAATGAACCCCACATCCGATTTGCACTCAGACCAGGTCAGTTCCGAGACATAGAAAGGACATTCCTGCACCAGATCTCCGACCACAGAAGGCTGCGCATCCTGAGATACCAACGGCACCGACTGCTCATTAACAAAGGAAGAGAGAGGCCGAGGAGGAGGAGGAGTCGGGGTGGTACCACCGTCGGAGTCAGGAATTTGACTGCACGTCCTAAGCGGGGGGTCTCGGGCTCGAATTCCAGGCTCTCCAGGGGCGGAAGCTTGTCTAGTGGGGCTCCCACCGCCAGGAGGCCGCCGGCACGGCGACGAAACAGAACCGCAAGGTACAGCTGGTTTAAAGTCGGACTCGCGGGCCCAAGGGTCGACCTCATCGGGCCAGGGGCCCTCGTCCTCCAACGGCTCGCCAGAGAAAGGAAAATCGAGACCCTC